AGTGGTGGAAGTAGATACTTTCCTCAGATAACAGCTTGTTGTGAGTTGGGCAGGGGATTGGGCTGTATGCCTGAGCCCCCTTCTCATTCCTGGATCCAGCATGGATTCAATTCCTAGAATAGCCAGGCCAGCTTCCTGGTAAAGAAAGTAGCTTTGTGCTAGACATCAGATGGGTAGGCCCTGCTCCCTCAAGTCACTAGTAGTTAGAAAGGCAAAGGCCAGAGTTGAGAGTTGAGAGCATGTGAGCTAGAAAGTAGAAGCAAAGTAGGCTGTGCACCTGGGATACAGAACCATGCCTGATTTCTATTGGAATCCAAGGCTGTGACTACAGGAGAAGCAAGACCTTCTTGGGATGTTCATGCTGTGAGCCCCTCCAATGTAGGCTCAGGTTGTATATATGTGTAAATAAATCATACATCATAAAGATGCCACAGTCTCCGCTGTCCTTAGTTCTAAGGAAACCGAACCCTGAGCAAGTGCCTGGAACCCCTGGAATCTTACGCCACTTGGAGATTGGGATGGGGTGCAAAAAGCTCATTATGCGAAGTGTGAAACGGCCACTACTCTGTATCTCTTTTCTCCTCTGACTGACAACATCTAATTTTTTCATAACATCTTTTGTCATCACGCTATGTGACTTCCTGCTTCACTGAAACCTGGTGGGATAAGTCCCACGATTGGAATGTAATAATGGGGGGATACAATATATTTCAGAGAAACAGACCAGACAAGAAAGGAGGAGGAGTGGCGTTATATGTCAGGGATGTGTATACCTGTGAAGAGATCCAAGATTTAGAACCTCAAAGCCAAAGTGAGAGCATTTGGGTCAAAATTAAGGGAGAGAAGAATAAGAGTGACCTCATTGTGGGAGTTTACTATAGATCCCCAAGCCAAACGGAGGACATAGATGATGCCTTCCTGGAACAGATGGCCAAGCATGCAAAAGGAAAGGAGATAGTAGTAATGGGGGACTTCAATTACCCGGATATTTGTTGGATGTCAAACTCAGCCAAGAGCATAAGGTCAAACAGATTCCTCACTGGCCTTGCAGACAACTTCATTGTCCAGAAAGTGGGAGAAGCAACAAGAGGAACAGCCATTTTAGATCTGGTCCTAACCAATGTTGATGACCTGGTTAGTGGGGTAGAAGTGGAAGGATCATTAGGCGCGAGTGATCATGCTCTTCTGAAGTTTACTATACAGCGGAAAGGAGCAGCCAAGCATACTAGGACTCAATTTCTTGACTTTAAGAAAGCTGACTTCATAAAACTTAGGGAAGTGCTGGGTGAGATCCCATGGACAGTAATACTAAAAGGAAAGGGAGTTCATGATGGCTGGGAGTTTGTTAAGAGGGAGATAGTAAAAGCACAACGTCAGGCAATACCAATGAGACGGAAACATGGAAGGTGCTCAAAGAAGCCAGGGTGGTTATCTAAAGAACTTTAACTGAGTTAAGATTTAAAAAGGATGTGCAATAAAAATGGAAAGGGGAATCCATCTAAAGAGGAATTCAAACAAAAACAAATAGCCAGCACGACACAAAGTCAGAAAGCTAAAGCACAGAAATGAACTCAGGCTTAGAGAGGTTAAAAAAGCAACAAAAAAGGCTTTTATGGGTATGACCAGAAAAAGGAAGAACAAAGAAACAGTGGGTCACTCAGAGGAGAAGATGGTGAAATGCAAACAGGGGACACAGAAAATAACCCTAATGTTTCTTGCCTCAGTCTTCCAATAAAGAAAACAATGCCCGACCTGAAGAATTTGGAGCAATGATTCTCAGCAAAGGAAACACAGCTCCAGAATAACTAAGGAGATAGTACAAGAATACTGGCTAGTTTAGATGTATTCAAGTTCCAGGGCCAGATGAACTGCATCCAAGAGTATTAAAAGAACTGGCAGATGTGATCTCAGAACTACTGGCAGTCATCTTTGAGAATTCTGAGAACAGGTGAAGTCCCGCAGACTGAGGAGGGCAAATGTTGCTCCTATTTTCTTCTAAAAAGGGGGAAAGAGAGGACCCAAATAATTACCGCCTGTCAGTCTGACATCAATACCAGGGAAGATTCTGGAGCAGACTGTTACAAACAGTCTGTGAGCACCTAGAAAGGAATGCTGTGATCACCAATACAGCATGATTAGTAATGTCATGTCATGACTAACCTGATCTCGTTTTGACAGAATTATGCCCAGGAGAAGTGGAACGTCATGTAGCCTTACCTTTTGATTTCAGCAAGGCATTTGGACAAGGTGCCTCACGATATCCTTGTAAAGAAGCTGGTAAAAATGTGGTCTTGACTATGCTACCACTCAGGGGATTTGTAACTGGCTGACTGGACCGAACCCAAAGGGTGCTCACTGTGGTTCCTCCTTCATCCTGAGAAGAGTGACTATGGGGTGCTTGTTCTGTCTTGGGCCCGGTTCAACATCTTTATCAACGACTGGATGATGGACTCCAAGGGCATCCTGATCAAATTTATGATGACACTGAAAACTGGGAGGGGGTGTGGCTAACACCAGAGGACAGGATCACACTTCAAAACGACCTTGACAGATTAGAGAACTGGGCCAAACAAAACAAGATGAATTTAACAGGAGAAATGTGCATTGCACTAAGTGCAAGAATGAGAGGCACAATACAAGATGGTGACACCTGTCGAGAGCAGTACATGTGAAAAGGATCTAGGAGTCTTGCTGACCACAAACTCTGACAGAGCCAACAGTGTGACGCGGCAGCTAAAAAGCCAATGCAATTCTGGGCCTCATCAATAGGGAGTATAGCATCTAGATCAAGGAAGTATTAGTGCCACTGTATTCTGCTCTGGTCAGACCACCTGAGTATCAGGTCCAGTTCTGGGTACCATGTTCAAGAAGGACATCACAACTGGAACGTGTCCAGAGGAGGGCAACCAAATGGTCAGCACTGAAACGGATGCTCATGAGGAACGGCTAAGAGCTGGGCATGTTTAGCCTGGAGAAGAGGATAAGTTAAGGGGTGATATGATAAATATGTTCAAATATATAAAAGGATGTCACATAGAGGAGGGAGAAATATTGTTTTCTGCTGCCCAGAGTTGACACGGAGCAATGATCCAAACTACAAGAAAGAAGATTCCACTCAAACATTAGGAGAGCTTCCTGACAGTAAGAGCTGTTCGACAGTGGAATTTGCTGCCAAGGAGGTGGTGGAGTTCCTCTTTGGAGGTCTTTACAGAGGTTTGACAACCATATGTCAGAGTGCTCTGGTGTTTCCTGCTTGGCAGGGGTTGACTCCGATGGCCCTTGTGGTCTCTTCCAACTCTATGATTCTATGATTCTACCAGTTATCTGAGGCAGTGTGAAGACACATAGCATGAGGGCAGCATCTCACAAGGTTTGTGAAACTAGGCACTATTGAGAGTAAAAGACCTAAAGTAGTAAGCTAAAGAACTTACCATCACTGGTGCCTGCAACACCCCAGCCAGAGCTGCACGGAGGATGGCAGAGGGTAGCATACATCTTGCAGCTCCTAGTCCTTACAGCCATAGCCTACGGAAAGAAACACAACAGTGACTACATGGGCTAGTGAAGGTATGTCATGACTGAGCATCCTTTGCAGTAACTGAACCAAGCAGGGGCCCTACAGAGGATTAATGGTGCTCTGGAGATCTTGCACCTACAACAGTGAATGGCTTTCTGCCACGGTATCTGCAATGTAGCCTGAGTGTTGTACTTTATGGTGCCTCTGTCCAAAATGTGGGCCAAGGGAGAGAATCATGAACACTGGGCTGGTATCTCCTGCTCCCCACCCAATCCCTATGCCATCTCACATGACTCACTCTCCTTTGGGTCTCCAGCAGTGTTGATATGCTTACCCACCCATGCAAGTCTGATACCTTGCACCAGCAAGCCCATGTATTGTACAGCAGAGCAAGGTTGCCACTGCAGAAACATCCCATTGTTACAGAGATCCCAACACTTTTCTTTGCAGGTATGAGGGGGATTTCATCTTACAGTCTACATTTCTGAGGCCAATTGTGAGGTGCCTCCAGAACACAAATGTTTACTTTGATACTCAGCCTTATCGCATGTAAGCAGCTTATACATATCTGTGATAAACTTGTAAATAATAATAATTTTATTCTCTAACCCCACTATATTTTCCTTTGTGGACTTAATGATGCTGAAAATCTCTTTAATGTCTATCTAATCGGCTTCCATTATCCATTTCTCTATTTCATTTCACAAGAGAGAGACCACTTTACTCCCTCTTCAAAGAAGGAAATCAGGACAAAGGTGCCTGCAGAAAACTGGTGTGGGGCCCCAATTCAGATCAGAAACATTCCAGACAGAGCCCTGTAGCTTTTTTCTTCAAAAGAATACAGCTTATGCAAGCTTTTGCTTTGCTTTTTTTAAAAAGGGTGAACAGCATAGTGTGTCATTTAGAGACCCTGCAACCTGGCTAGTTTTCAGGTATGCCTACATTAGAAAACAGCTTTCATTGTTCTTTTAAATCCAGAGGAATTACATGCAATTTCCAACAACGCCTAGAAAAATATTAGTGACAACGCCTCAAAAATCTCTGTACCCAACTGCAGTGTATTTCAGTTTCTTAAGGAAAAGTATTCCTTAAAATTCCAGATCTTGCAGAGGCCTAAGTAAGATTTCTCCATTGTAATATATTGTGTGGGTGTACTTTTGGGGTGATAGCTAACATTAGAGTAGACCCATTGAAATTTGTGGTCTTAAGTCATTTAGGACACAGCATGATTTAGTTGAATATCACCTATAGTTTTCCAATTGTTTTTGGTTATGTGTTTGTTTTCTTAGAGCTTGTGCCTGAGAATTATGGAGAGACTACATCTTTGTGCTTGTAGATGCTGTATCTGCTACTCTACCCTCTCCTTTTAACCCTAATTCCCTTATTTATCTTTTTGGGCTGAAAACTTTGCTTTGGGATATGTTCTTTTGTTTTGCATGACAGGAATATTTTAATATGCACTATGAATGCTGAGTAATTGTAGATGTGTCAGGGCTTGCTCTGGGTGGGCATCTCACGTAGGGTCCCAGATGTGAATGCCCCCAATGTTTACCGGAAAACAAAGAGAGACAGACAGAGTAATGTAAGTAATGTAACCTAATAATTGTAAATATTGATAAACAATGTCTATATTCTGACACAAAGTATAACTTATTTGGAAGCTCAGTAAAATTAATCTAACCTCATCTGATTGCAATTTTCTCATAAGTTCTGTGTACCAAATGTTTCCCAGCCAAAAGCAGCACTCGTTCCAATATACAATGTACTATTTCATATCTGCTTTCATTGGGCTTTGAGTGATGGAGTTAGTCAGTTTTAAAACAATAACTTTAAAACTCATTACAAAAGAGACAACATAAACCTGATCAGAATTTGTTAGTGTTGTTACTGATTTGTGGGATTATTGTTTAAGAAATCTCCATTTCCCTTTTGAATTTTTTCTGTTTGTATGTTCTCCCAAGCTCTGAATTACTGCCAGTGATTAATTTGTGACAGAAATGTGGTAGGAACTATAATAAGGTATTCTGAAAAAACAACCAGTTCAACTGCAAAAATCAAAAGCAGCCCTACAATGAAAGGTCATCTAAATGGAAATGGACCATATACAAATAGGGAAGTTTTGTTTAGGTGCCAACTGGGAAGCTATTATTTTTCCCCAAGATGACATTAGAACGCCCCCTTGAGCTCTATAATTGTAGATTAATGAAAATAAAATTGATGTTCTGTCTCTTACTGTTCAGTAGAGAGAAAGCATATGATCATGAACAAAGGCACATACCCCACTGAACTAAATAGCCAGACTAACTTCAATTGATTTGAACAGTCATGGACTACAAAAGCATTGCCTCCCACTTGTCCTTCTACACCCATCAAAAGCAGAAAGCAAAAGCAGAACTTCATTTCAGTGTTATAAGAATTGCAACTGATAGAAGGGAAAGTAAGGGAGATGAAGCATCTGCCAAGCAACCTCCTTCTATCTTCCTCACTAGCCACTTATCGTCATCTCTCACCACACTGAGGAATGGACTGCAATTTTGACTTTATGTTGCAGCATTTCTATTTCATGCCAAGGAAACTACCGTATCATGTTTTCTGGATTGACACATTTGCTCGAGGGGCGACACTTAGTGTTTGTTGTGGGACTTGCCGTATGGGTACTAATCTGCAGGTGTTGCCCATTGTTATTTATTTATTTATTTATTTATTTAGTATTAAATCAGTATTGTGCCCTACAAAAGGGGACACGGGTGGCGCTGTGGTCTAAACCATTGAGCCACTTGGGCTTGCCGATCAGAAGGTTGGCGGTTCGAATCCCCACGATGGGGTGAGCTCCCGTTGCTCGGTCCCAGCTCCTGCCAACCTAGCAGTTCAAAAGCACACCAGTGCAAGTAGATAAATAGGTACCGCTGCGGCGGGAAGGTAAGCGATGTTTCTGTGTGCTCTGGTTTCTGTCATGGTGTTCCGTTGTGCCAGAAGTGGTTTAGTCATGCTGGCCACAGTACTCAGAAAGCTGTCTGTGGACAAACACCGGCTCCCTCAGACTGAAAGCAAGATGAGTGCCACAACCCCATGGTCGCCTTTGACTGGACTTAACTGTCCAGGGGTCCTTTACCTTACCTCTGCCCTACACCCATAGATCTCAGGTTGATTTACAACATTAAATTACAATATAAAAAAGCCACATGCATAATAAAAATAACAAAAACAAACCAGTAACACATTTAAAAGGGCATCAGAAGTCAATCAGCCAAAGGCCTAGTTAGAGAGGAATGCCTTCACCTGTCTGTGGAGGAGAGTAAAAGCATATATGACAAATGTTGGGGGGGGGGAATAGGTGTGGGGCTGAGAGCCTGAGTTGGCCAAGGCTTAGTCCCACTGTTATCCTAAACCAGGGGTAAGCAATCGTCTTCTCAATCCGGCCCGTGGACGGTCTGAGAATCAGCGTGTTTTTACATGAGTAGAATGTTTCCTTTTATTTAAAATGCATCTCTGTGTTATTTGTGGGGCATAGGAATTTGTTCATTTTTTCCCTTCAAAATATAGTCCAGCCCACCACATTGTCTGAGGGACGATGGACTGGCCCACGGCTGAAAAAGGTTGCTGACCCATCCTAAACTTTCAAGAACATGGAGTTAACAGAAGGCATTTCCTTTCAACAAGGGCAGAGTGCCTTTCCCTCAGGCTCACCAATCTTCACCTATATGGCATAAGCGGTCCTATTTGGCCTGAGGGTCCAACCCTGGAACCCGTTTTCAAACCAAAGCAGAAGTTCTGCAAAGCAAACTGGACCATGGCTGGACCTACGCGCGGATGGTATCTAGCACCATTGTATACTTCACGAAGCTTGCCTTAAAAATAAAAAAGCAATCCCCACTCAGACCGCCCTCCCTCCCCCCCAAAAAAACCTTCACACAATAGATTGTTTTACAGTGAATGCCTAACCATGCCTACTCATAAGTAACATTTAATTCAACGGCGGCTTACTCTCAAATAAGTGGGGTTAGATTGCAGCCTCGGTTTTGGAATATGGGGAACAATAATACAGAAGCGTGTCTCTGACTTGAGTGCATTTACTCATGCAGATGACACAACCTTGATGGCAGAAAGTGAAGAGGAATTAAAGAACCTTTTAATGAGGGTGAAAGAGGAGAGTGCAAAATATGGTTTGAAGCTCAACATTAAAAAAACGAAGATCATGGCCACTGGTCCCATCATCTCCTGGCAAATAGAAGGCGAAGAAATGGAGGTAGTGAGAGATTTTACTTTCTTGGGCTCCATGATCACGGCAGATGGTGACAGCAGCCACGAAATTAAAAGACGCCTGCTCCTTGGGAGAAAGGCGATGGCAAACTTAGACAGTATCTTAGAAAGCAGAGACATCACCTTGCCAACAAAGGTCTGTATAGCTAAAGCCATCGTTTTCCCAGTAGTGATGTATGGAAGTGAAAGCTGGACCATAAAGAAGGCTGATCGCCGAAGAATTGATGCTTTTGAACTGTGGTGCTGGAGGAGACTCTTGAGAGTCCCATGGACTGCAAGAAGATCAAACCTCTTCATTCTTAAGGAAATCAGCCCTGAGTGCTCACTGGAAGGACAAATCATGAAGCTGAGGCTCCAATACTTTGGCCACCTCATGAGAAGAGAAGACTCCCTGGAAAAGACCCTGATGCTGGGAAAGATGGAGGGCACAAGGAGAAGGGGACGACAGAGGACAGGATGGTTGGACAGTGTTCTCGAAGCTACCAGCATGAGTTTGACCAAACTGCGAGAGGCAGTGGAGGACAGGAGTGCCTGGCGTGCTCTGGTCCATGGGGTCACGAAGAGTCGGATACGACTAAACAACAACAACAACAACAACTCATGAAAAATACGAAGCGGCCTCGTATTGCGTCGGGAGAATAGCCGATTCAACCCAGTATTGGCCTTCAAATCTGGCTGGCTGTGGTTATCTAGGGTAGGCAAAGGTTTTGGAGCCGCTACCCAAGACTGGTGGCGGTGCGAGGACGGGCTTTCCACGCGCTCTCCCATTAGCCACAAAGAGCCAGAGAGGAAAGAATAAGGCAAAGGCGACCGGCTGCCATCTTACAAATCCCGCTCTCCCGCCCGCCTCAGCCAATCCGCAACGCCCACCCGCCCTTCGCCGGAGTTGGCTCTCCCGGGGTGAAAGTCCCGCCCCTGGAGAGGGGCCGGGCCTGTCAATCAAGTAGAGGAAGCCGAAAGAAAGCCGAGCTGGCCGATTTCCGCCGGTAAGGGGAGTTGGCGGGAAGGGGGGGGAGGGGCGTCAACCAGGGAGTGCGAACAAGCGGGAGGAGAGAGAGGAGGGGGTCAGTTCGTCGCGGAGGAGGGGCGAGCTCCCGAAAAGGGCTGTGCGCACGCGCGGTCTCGTGTGTTTCTCCCCCCTCAGGCTCGTTATTGAGGCGGCGCGCGCAGCGCTTTCTGGTTGCGACCGTCTCGTGCTAGGCTGGCGGCAGCGATTGTAACAGCAGGAAGGTCTCATTCTGTCCTCCGTATACGAATCTTAAGGTGGGGGCGTGGAACGTGCTCACGAGCATGTGCAGAATACAGACACTAATTTTATTGTAGGATTCCCGTCCCCCGTTGGCAGCTGGCCGGAAAATGGAACAGGCAAGAAGTAACAGTAACTGGCTTGCTGCTGCTGCTGCTGCTGCTGGCCCGTGAATACAGAGAGGTTTCCTGTACAGGTGAAACTTTGTCATTGGGTGGGTAGGGGGGCAAGTTGCTCGGCTAGTGCAAAAATAGGCGATTCTGCATGAACCCCAGGTTCAGTTTTATTAGTCATTTAAGTGTTGGAAGCAGCATATGCACTTCAGTGCTTGTGTGGTACCTCAGGTTAAGTACTTAATTCATTCCGGAGGTCCATGCTTAACCTGGAACTGTTCTTAACCTGAAGCACCACTTTAGCTAATGGGGCCTCCCACTGCTGCTGCTGCGCCACCGGAGCATGATTTCTGTTCTCATCCTGAAGCAAAGTTCTTAACCCAAGACAATATTTCTGGGTTAGCGGAGTCTGTAACCTGAAGCGTATGTAACCTGAAGCATATGTAACCCGAGGTACCACTGTATATAAAAAAGACCCACATCAAAGGTTTCTGAATGAACATAGCAGCAGGCATAGGATAAAAGGAGAGTGCCTCGTGGGTCAGTAACTGGTTAAAGAACAGCAAGCAGCTGGGATGAATGCGCATTTCTCACAAGAGGGAGGCAGAATACCCCCAGGATCTCTCTTGGGACCAGTCTTTTTTAAAGTCTCCATAAATCACCTGAGGCAGCAGTCAAGTTCTGTGGTGACAGTTCAGTATAGTGAGAACAGACTGAGGAGCTGGGAAAGGATTTCACCCAAGTAGTGAGCTCAAAATGGGAAGTGCAGTTCAATGTCAAGTGATACACAGAGAAGCGAAATACTGTATAACTTTACATGTACGCTTATGGTGTCTGAACCCATCTGGTTTAAGAGCTTCTGCTCACTTATTGGATTGCAAACAAGCCCACACATCACTGAACATACAATCAGGGGCCCAGTCAGTGCACACTTGTCATTGATAGACCTTTTACAGTGTACTCTTGGCCACGCTTACTCCGATGTAATCCCAATGGTAAACGAGCACAGGACTGTGCTGCAAGGTTGATACAGTATGTGAAGTATTTTTATTATTTTCTTCTAAGCTATTAAAACGAAGTATTTTAGCATCTGATTCTGGGAGATCATAATTAATTGTTGGTGTGTTACTTTTAATCCAGAGGTTGCATTGCAGATTCCTTGCCTCAAGTAATGACCTGAATTCTTTATGCATTTTGTGAAGTTAGTGCTTGAATGGGAAATTTAACATACAGCCATATTTTCTTCAAAGGCTCATAGCTTAATTATACATTCTGAAGTCAGTAGGACTAGTACATTTTAAGGAGGGAAAGTGATGTTAGTTCAGTAGATGAACGCCCTTAAAACTATGGAGGTGAATGTTGGTGGTAAGAACAATCCTGGGTCTAAATACCAACAATTTGAGTATTTATAGCCTTTGCAATGAAAATTCCATCTGGAGAGACTATTATTATTCTTGTGCTACAACGGTAGTGTGGTGTATGCTGTTAAATCACTATCATTTTTAACCCCAAAGGTATTAAAATTATTCTGCTTTATATCATTCGTAAACTGTTTGAATTCATTCAGTATGGCATGATTAATACTGTACTCTATGGGTGAAACTCTTGGCTGGTTGTATTTTTTTTATTTTTCCGTACATCTTTAAAATATATTGTGTTTTTCACAAGACACTTGAAAACGACCTTTAGTCTGTAACACTTTTTTATACAGGCTCGTGAGTATAGTTAATGTGGTATGTTACATGGGGCAGATTTTAGTGGGAATGATGGCCCATAGAAATGGATTATAATTCCAATTAATTCCAATTAATTTAAGTGAAGTAAGTCATTCTGGTTCTGTGAACATATGCAGTTTTCAAGATAGGCCTTCCCAGTCACCATTTTGCTTTGGTGAGAGCAGCATTGTAAATGGGATACTTTCTGGAGGTATAGCATCTCTTGCGCTGGAAAATAGTGTGTGAGAGAGAGAAAGAGAAAAAGAAAGAAAAATTGAATGCTGCTTAGTCCTTTCCTTCACAGCTCCCCCCATGTAAAAAAAACCCAGCTGAATTTGCTTCCATCAGATTTCATGTGTGTGTTTATAAAGCTAAGCTCACACCTAGAATTCTGCAGGGTAGAAAAGAGCCATTGTGGCAGTAGTGGGGAGATATAATTTGGAGGAGAAAATGAGTAAGGAAGAGGTTAAGTACTATTAACTCCTGGTTCCTTTTCATTTAAAGCACACACACAAAACATATGCATATAATGTATTGTTCACCCCTGAGTAGTGTCTTATTATTATGAAATACATATTAAGGAAAAATGAAATTTTGTCTCCCCTGTTGCAGTAGTCTTTTTTTCATTACACTGTGTGGTAATAATATATACTACATATATACAAAGTAGACTGTATTTATTAACACGTCACATACAGTCATTTCCTTCCTCTGCAGGTGTTTATTTAATATTGGCAGTTCACAGTTCAGACCTAGCTAATTTATGCTCTTCATGAGGAACAAATTACAAATAATTGCTAGTAGGAAACAAGCAATTTGCAACTATGGTATAGAATTCTAATCAAAAAGTTGCCAATGTAAAATGTGTGCAAACACTTCTAAAATTGAGGCTCTGTATTCCCCCTCCCCCTGAGAAGTTTTGGAAATCTCAGTGTCAAATTCAAAAACTAATTATTTTGGGGAAACTTTGGTATGTGGTCATTTACTTTTTCTGTTATTTTCAATGTAATCTGATACATATCTACTTCAAACGAAGTAAAATAGCAGGTGGTATGTTCTTTGCTTTTGGAAATGTTAAGGAGCTTGTTTCAGAGAACAAAATGGGCACATCAGGAAACTCCTGATTAATTATACCACGTAATGGGGTCTGCAGTTCAGCTCTACATGCTGAGTATTTGAGCATAATGGTTACTCTCTTCCTGATTTTTCTGATTCTATGGGAAATTGACAAATTTTATTAAATAAACTGATTAAATAAAAAAAGGCTCTCCAACCAAGTCATAATATATTATGAAATCAGTATTGCTGGGTATGAAGAGGTTTCCCTCACCATCTACATATTGTTATCCCTTTAAGCTAGATGGTTCTTGCAAATGGAAAATTCTGAGGCCTCGCAACAGGTACTACAATGTGCTTGTAAAAGATAGTCTCTAGCAAAGGATCTGTGAAGACATCTGCAGTGTCAAATGGTCTATTGATATAAGAATCCCAGTGGTTTATTATTATTATTATGTAGAGAATAAAGGCTTTCTGCCCCTCTCCTCCCCATCGCATTGCTTCCTTTCAGCCCACTGTATCTGTGTGTTTCTTGCCCTTCATTTTACAGCCCACTCAGGAAGCTCAAAAATTAAAATGCAAGCTCATCACTATATTGTAGATTCTCGTAATTAATCATAAATGTCTCCAATTACTGACTGTTTTCAGCAGAACCTTCTGAGGTAACATCATTTATTATTGATACCTTGTAGGAATAGAAGTGATGCAGGAAGAACTTATGTACATTTTCTCACAACATTTGATTCCCACACAAACACACCTTTTCTCAAACTAATTGGAAATAGCTTCTGGGATGTTTGTCCATGTGTTTGGCCAGGGCACACTTTGCTGACCTGTGAAATTTGGACTCATTGAAGTGCTGAAAACACCATGAACTTGGAGCACCATCCAGGTCATAATGGTAGAATGTGAAAATATGTAACATATTGGCTGATGATAGCCTAAACCCCTAGTTTTATGTTGACAATGGACAACTCTTGATTTCCACAAGTAGGCAGCTATATTGGTTGCTATCCTAAGGAACTCCTCATTCAAGATGAGGAAGTGACCTTTAAGGCTAGGTGTGTTTTGCTTTTTTGCTTTCTTATATTAATCTTGCAAGAAATTAAAAAGGTTTCTTCTCTTTAACCGAAATGTTTTTTTTGTATAGGCTGCAGCTGGGGATTTTGGTAATGTTCACTGAATGTTATTCTGTTAGGGTTATTTAAATTGACTACTTTTATTGTAATTTGAATTATATGCTTTAATGTTTCTTTTTAATGTAAGCCACTTTGGGAAGTCATGAAAGGCAAATAACTGAAATACATAACAAGTAGAAGTGAACACTGCAATTTATTTATAACAGAAAAAATGAGTTAACTATATAATAGTTATTAACTGTTATGGCGCATTAGTTGTTTCATTCATCCTATAATTGTGAACATTCATAGAATAGTGTGTTGTTATGCTGCAATGCTTTCTCAATTACTTGCGTGGAAGCCCCACTAATCTCAATGGGACCTCTGAGTAAATATGTATAGGATTGAATTGTAAGAGTCCTTGAAGAATAGTGTTCAATGTGTACATGTAAACCAAGATATCATGGGCATTCTTTAACAACAACAACTTTTTAAATGGCATACACTTAATGCATTATATCTATTTTTAAAGTGTAAAATTCTACAGTGTTTGAATGGTAGTTTCTGAATGTGTTCCAGCTGCCTCTGATGAAGAAGTGTTCTACGTCATTAAGCTGGAGTGTGTTTGTAAATAAACAGACATTTTCTTCCAAACCTTTTAAGGACTGCTTCCTTGCTATTTTGGTGGTGGGTGAGCCCCAGTGCTAAGAAGCAGAAGCCTGTGACCAAATGTGGAAGGATGAAGGCTTGCCTTATACAGTGGTACCTCGCAAGACGAATGCCTCGCAAGACAAAAAAACTCGCTAGACGAAAGGGTTTTTTGTTTTTTGAGCTGCTTCGCCAGACGATTTTCCCTATGGGCTTGCTTCGCAAGACGGAAACGTCTTGCAAGTTTGTTTCCTTTTTCTTAACACCGTTAATACAGTTGCGACTTCACTTCAAGGAGCAACTCATAGAACGCGATGTGATAGCCTTTTTTGAGGTTTTTAAAGACTTTGGTGATTTTTGAAGCTTTTCCAAAACTTTCCCGACACCGTGCTTCGCAAGACAAAAAAAAATCGCAAGACGACAAAACTCGCGGAACAAATTAATTTCGTCTTGCGAGGCACCACTGTAGTGGAGTGAGGCATTATGAACTGTGGCAATTCATATTCCCGAATGACTCCTAATTTGAACTTTGACTCAATCACTAGTTCAATGCCATTATTTTTTAGGGTAATAATTATGCTGATGGTGATTTTGTGTTTGGAAGTTCGCAGTTCAGGAATGCTGTTGGGCTTGATGTGAGTTGGTGAGGTTGAAGCTGACGGTGGTGGTCCAGGGTTCCTTCTTAACCAGCTTCAGCTGGTTCACCTGTGTGAAGAGAATGGACCTTCCTTCAGTTACCCATGTAATGTTCAAGCTGGAGTACTGCAATGCTGTCCATGGTTTTGGAACTTCATCTGGTACAAAATTCAGCCTTCAGGTTGTTTGTTGGAGCCAGGCAGTTGAAGCAACCTATGCTGTACCACTGTGTTTCTGGCCCCAAATTTAAAACGCTTGTGATGACCTTTGAAACACTGAATATTTTTAAACCAGAGTATTTTAGCATTCCCTGCACCCATATCAACTTACCTGTGCCTTAAGATTCACTTCAGAAGCCCTGCTTTTTAGGTTCTCACCTTGAAAGACAAGTTAGTGGGCTCATGGAACAGGACCTTCTCTATGGTGTCTCCACGGCTATGGAACTTGATTGTATGTGTAGTTAGGCTGGCTCAGTTTTTTTTAGTTGTCTGTATGATCTCTCCATCCCTAGTTTAGCAAACTGAGAATGGGTGTCAGACTTGTGTGCGCATATCTTTACCTAGTGTTGTCACCTTGAGTGCTGGCTTCACTCCAGGGCTGCTTCCTGTTCTGTTTATACAGGCCATGTTGCTTTATGAACAAGGATGTAAACTAGGAGGAAACTATGGTTTAAGAACTGACTGAGTACCCAGTTAGTAAAACCGATGTTCTCTGGTTTGGATATATTGGGAATTCTGATTTAAACGGACCTTATTTGAAGGTGGTATGTTGGGTGTGTGCCGGTCTACTTACACTTGCGTTGCTTAAACGGTAAATAATCGGGAATTGTAAGGAATATTTAAACTTTATACAATCTAGTCAGTCATATTTAAATCTGACAGACTTCATAGGCATAGTACTAGCTTGTAAAGCTCCCCCTTTTAATTTCAACTGTTCCTGTGCTATATAAGAAACTGGACTTTGTATACAGTGTACCATGTTTTCATCTATGGTTGCACATTTCACAGTCTCCAGTTTTAACAGTTCACTTTGTTGTGTTAATAAAGGTCCTTGAAAATGCAGCTGTGCTCAGGGTCAAACTAGATAAGGCAGAACAGCCATCCACGCATCTGCTCCGTTAGCATATAAAGTTGAAGAATCCTCTTTGCCGTAAAATGCCTGTGGGGGAGCAAAACTCACTCCTTCACCTTACCTGCTGTGTTCCACCAGAAGTGATCTCAACTGGGAAGAAGCAGCTTAAAGGTGCAATAGTTTAAGAGAGCAGGGTGATGAGTTTGGCTTTCCTCCCTCATACGGTCCTTTTCATGTGAAGAATAGGTCCTTACCCAGCTCTGCTTTATGTATGAACAGGGCAGACACTGAGATACATGGCTGCCTTGTCACATCTTGTTTGGCCTTCAGATTCAGGGTGGAGTGTGGGCTTTGGTCCAGATAAAAGGCTTCAGCGTGCAAGAACTTGCAAATGGGAGATGTATGCAAGGTATAGCTGGCTGGCATGTGGCTTTCTAGATGCTCTTTGACTGCAGCTCTGATCAACCCAGACTGACATGGGTAGTGATCAAGGGTTGTTGGCTTCTAGTCCAGCTACATCGAGAGGGGCACAGGCCAACACCCCCGGTATAAGGCATGCTGTGCTTGTGGCATTCCTTCGTAGGATTTCTAGAGCCATGTGGGTACATAAGTTTATGTACTTAGTGAGCAGAGTCGGCTATTTTTAGCTAGAGACATTTCTTTCATTTTCATTGTCATTGCAGACACATTATTGATGCGCTGCAACGATCAAAGAGAATTAAGTATTTCCAAATCATTGCTTTGAAGCAGTAAACCTTACAGCTGTGTGCCTTCCTCCTTTCTGATGCTGTACTTGTGCATCTTGATTTTGAAATAAAATAATCTCTGATCTTAAAATAGATTTCCTGAGGGTTGGTTTGTATCTGGAATTCCAAATACCCCATTTTTACTAGAAGCCTTTGTAAGAGAAGTTCAAACCCTGGGTTTCAAGTTAATGCTTACGGGCAGATCTCTGTATCCTCTTTGTATGATAACTGCACTACAAATAAACCAAAAACAGTTTGTAAGCAGTGTGGCAAGAAACTGCTTTCAGCATTTGAAAGTACAACAGCTATTTGAAAATTAAGTAGTTCAGGTCAGGAGCTTTGAAATGATTCCTGACTGGGCCTGCAAATTCTTACTTGTCCCTCTTGCCATGGTGAGACGTCAGCGAATCTCTGGTGAGCAAGATGAATCCTTAAACCAGAGTAGGAAGAATGACTCTTGCCCCTTCCCCAGCCACAAATGTAGACGGAAGCCTGCTTTTTAGCTCTGTGCTTATTGAGAGCCAAAGAGCCATTTTTAAAATCGTCTCTGGCTCTGAGGTAGAGTAGAACAGTGTAGTCACAATAGTTTGCCCCTGCGCCTGCTGGGAGTTCCATTTGCCTGGTAGATGCCTACTTCCCCTTTCTGAGCTGGAGGGGTAGCTATATAGCTGTGTACAGCCTCCTGCAGATTGTTCTAAAAACAGGCTTTAGAATAGAAGCAGCAACCCATCAGGTCATTTTTTCTTTTTAGAGAAAGCAACTTCCTTTTAAATATTAGGAAGAACTTTCTAACAGTAAGAGCTGTTCAACAGACTCCCACGAGAGGTGGTGGATTTTCCTTCCTTGGAAATTTTTCAGCAGAGGTTGGAAGGCACCAGTCATGTACGTAGGATTTCATTAAGATTCCTGCATTGCAGGGGGCTGGACTAGATGACCCTCAGGATCCCTTCCAACTCTACAGTTCTCTGATTCCAGAAGATACAGAGACCTGGAAGATGGTTTCACAATATCTTTAATTTGAGTAAGGGTAAAAAAAAATAGATGCTAATGATTTCCACTTAAATCAGGACTGCCTACTTGAAAGTCAGATATTGGACACATAAATCTGAATATTGATGCTGTAGCTGCTTTGTCTCCCACTGTTATCTCACTGGTTCCCTTGCCAGGCCTTCCATCCACATCACATAGGTTCTTCCACATTGAAAGAATGATTTATTACAACTGAGCAGCAAGTATTATGTGGCACCTGCAACAGGGCCAGTTCTGCAGATGGAAACAGTCAACTGGGAATATACAGGGAAGGCAATCCCATAAGTAAACATGTCTCAAACTTTTAAAGGCTTTATGTACTAATAGGAACACCTTGAACTTGTCCCAGTAGCAAATTGGCAACCAGTGGAGATCTCTGAGCAAAGGCGCTCTATGCTGGCTGGGTCCCACTCCTGTCAGCAGCTGTGCTGCAGCATTCTGCACTAACTGCAGCTTATGGATCAAGCGCAATGGAAGCCCCTACAACAGCCCCTACAGAGAGCTATTGACTCTCTGGCCTACTCCCAGGAGTCTCTGCATAGGTTTCCTCAATGCAGACATCCATGCTCAACCTGTGGGTGTCAGGAAATGGGGTAAAGGATCTGTATGACAATGGGTGTGCTAAGGACAAAAGCACAACCCTATGCCGAGTGAAGCCTTCATGATGGTATTTGAAGGGAGATACGCTCTCCTTTTTCTGCCTTTCCCACTTATACACAAGTTTCTTGACCAGCTGCCCTCTACTTTTCCTTCTCTTTCTATTCACACCTCACCCCCTTACATACATTGCTCTGCTTTTCCTCTTTCATTTTCCATGACACAGTTACTGACTTGTCTACTTAACAAGGGGCAATTAATGAGGAACAAATCCAGCGAGGTCTCTTCAGTGACTAAACTTTGAATGCAGAGTTTATTTCAGGGTGCTGTAAGTTTCTTTGGAAAGGTGCAAATTGGCTCTTACTTTGACATCTAAGCAGGTTTTGTCAGCTTGAAAGTGCTTTTCTTTTTTTTAAGCGAAGGGGTCTGTTTTCAGGACCTTTGTTAATGGCCCCCTAATGTACACTGTTTGCTGTTACAGTCACAAAGTAAAAGCTGCTGCTTCCCAGCATCCTGTATTCTTAATTAGATTTCCATTAATTTTCTCTGTGAGAGATAACGTGTGTACATTCACTTATTTATTGAGTGTTGTGGTGGTGGGTTTTTTGGATGAGTGCAGTCATAGCAGATCAACTACATTGAGAACAAAGTATTTGGATGCATTGGGACTGTTGGGTGCAGGGCATGTGAATGTCTTGTTTTTATACAGTGTGACTTATGGTAACTTACATGGTAACCAGTCATCCAGGCAGTAAGTATTTCTTCTCCAATATCATGGTTCTCTTTTTTCTGATGTAATGTAGCCAAAACACCCACCACCTATGCAGGAGAAGGAGGTAAAGGCTGCCTTGGTGAACCCCAAAGTTTGCAGAAGTAAAAAAATAAAAATCTTAAGAAAGACACTCTAAGAGGGGAAACCCCCCAAAGTCCATTGAGCACTGAGCATACTCAGTGGCCACAAAATGCAAACTGCCTGGGGATTGGTGAAATGGAAAACCAGATCGGAGTCGAGTGGTTGGAATACTGAAGAGCAGCACTCCACACTGTAACATTTTGTAGTGATCCCACTTGTGACTCTGCTAGTGATAAAAGTTACAGACAGCCAAGCACCTATTAACAGGTTCTGGTCATAGGTAGGCCAGAGAGCCAACAGCCCCTAAATTCACTTTGGCCTCTGGCTTGGTATCCCATTTCTGAGGGATGAACCATCAAAATCTTAAGTTGTGCCTGCCACATGGAAGCTGCTGGAAATCTATATACTGGCATTACCACTTGGTGACCTTTTTAATATGCGAGACCCACTCACAATACAATTTGCCACGATTGTGTGGGGAGTCACTACTTGAGCAACAGGAGGAGTTAGGTTTGAAAGGCATAAATAGCTCAAAGAGTCTGAAGCAGAAGCATTTGGAGTTCATTCTCATATAGACAGTGGTGGTCCCTTCAGAATATCAGGTCTGATATAATGTCACAAATATTTGTTGTTTTGAAGCGACAAACTATTTGGAGTTCAGATGAATGTTTGCAGGACAAAGGCTGAGAGAGGAGCAGACTCAATCTGAGTTATGAACAAAACATCCAGAGCTGCTTGTCTGCCCTCACAGGCTTTAAACTCTTCGGATTATACAGAGAAGTCACAGAATTGAAAACACTGACTTGAGGCCTTAAGGCCGAGCTGACAACGTGAGACAAGGGTGATCACATTTCATGAGTCAGCTTCTGTTTTCAAAACAAAACAGGTATAGGATGGAGAAACCATTGCACATTGGAAGGGTCTGTGTGGATGTAACAAGCCCAGTGGTCCTAATGAAAATTCTCCCAAATTGTTGAAGCTCCTGTTCTCCCAGGGGAACAGCCACTTTGCAAAAATGACAGCTTTTTTCTTGGAGTAACTAAGCAGCCTTAATGCATAATTGTAGTTACGCTGTAATGGAAATAGATGCTGTTATTTATCACATGATGAGCTAGACATGTAGCACTGGCAAAGTGAGAGCATTCCATATTGATGAAGGTCCTATCAATGCAGAGGACAATGATAATGAATAGGAAAAGTGCTGATACCCAACACAGCCATGTGTGTGTGCAGTATTTTTCTGAAACATTTGCATACAAGATTTTGACTTCATTGTATTTTCTTCGTGATTTGATCCACCCTGAAGATCCTATGGGACAATATAGTGGGGGGAGAAGACATAGATTTCAAAACTAAATAAATCTGGTGTAGCTATAGTATAGTCCTCCCCAGGGCTCCTATTTATTTCAATAAAGATGTAGATTTCAGCATTAGTACTTAGGATATTCATTCATTGTTAGTCTACTATAATGTTTCAGTGAGTTGCTTTTTTAAAAATAGAATGATGATTCATTGTTCATTTTGAGAAAAAGTTTCAGAAGGCTGTTAGCTGTATGAGCTAATATAATTGCTATTTCTCCCCTCACCCCTTTAGGGTGTGTTGCTGCAGAAGATTGCTTGCCTAGATGAAGCATCTGACACCCCTCACCCTTCTTGCCTGTGGCTCTTTTAACCCCATAACAAACATGCATATGCGTCTATTTGAACTAGCAAGAGATCACCTTCATCAAACAGGTCAGTGTGCAGAGTTGGAATGTGGAACCATTGGAATCTCGGGAAATTGGCAACATTTCACATCATTGCAACACATTTTTATTCCTGTTAATTAAAGTTCAAGACTTAGATATTTCACAGCATGCTGAACAGAATTTTTGCACCTTTATCACCTCTTAAAATAAGGCTCAAAATATGGAGATATAAAATGGGATTTTCACACCACAACGGTGAAGTTATGTCAGCTGTTTAGTAGAATAGTTGCAGATATAAACTTGTTTAAAGGGGCCTTACTCCCCCTGCCCCATTTTTCTTGAGGAGCAAAGAAACACTTTATGTATGTATTACCATTTAGTCTAAAGATTTACAGTTTACACTAGGGGGGGAAATGGGGTAAGGGGGCATATTCATCAAGGTGTAGAACTGCTTCTTCAAAACAGAACTTGCAAAAGAGCTATGTTTCAGCAGCTTTGGTGTTTCATTCAAATGACCAGGATAGCTCTATGGATCATCTAACTCATGTTCATTCAGGCACCAGCAAAGCCTCAAGGTAGGGATAAGTAGGTAGCTATTTATTTAAAGGCTCAGAATCATTGACAGATGGAGTGTTGGACATGGATGCTTGGAAAGCATCAAGAAACAGTTCAGGAGCATTTAGCAGATTGCAGATTTCCAATGCTTGGGTGAAACAAAAATACCAGAGCAATATTAGTGCATCATAACACTTGCGTGAGCAAGTTACAGAACCAGAACTCAAATACAGTTTCAATGACCGGTGACAAGGCAAGCTGTGAATATTGATATTTGGCCCAATTTACCCTTGCAATGCTACAATGCAAAAGAGAAAAATGGGAAGGGATCTATTAGTAGCAGCCAAAGATTTTTTAGTAGAAAATTGGGGAGGTAATTCCTCAGCATCAGGGAAGGAATGGCTTGCTACAGTGAGTAAAGTGGTTGACAGACTTCATCCAACTGAGAGAAGGAAAACAGAGGGTAGCAAATTTTAACAATAACTGGCTTCTGTTTTTTCTTTTGTGAATTGAAGGTATAATCTTAGAACTGACAAATATTGAAACTTTCCCCTGCTTTAAAGAGATGCTTGCTGTTACATTTTCATACATGTGACCAAGCAGTTATATTTTTCTATATTTTTTCAGGTTGTTATCCAACCCATAGTAATTGGATCTCTAACAACTGCAGTCTCTAACAATTATGTTCTCTTCAATTACACATAATGTTTGAATTGTATAGGCTATTAATGGTGTATGGTTTTGTATAGGTCTGAGTTTAGCTTTCTGGTAAGTTGTTTTAAGGGAAACGGAGACAATTAGCCAGCAAAACTGGTGAAATAATGACAGCTGTAAAATAAATGAATGTTACCGAGCAAAACAAGAGGAACAGAAAGTCATCCCTGCCCTTATGAAGGACATTTAGAACCAAACTAGACATGAGTATGTGTGTTTTGTTTAGGTAAATGGCATCACAGGGAAGCCTGGTCAACCTCCAACCTGTGTGTGGCAGTGAGGAGCATTTTAACACTTTCCCTCTCACAGTCCTGACAAAAAATCCCCTTTCTGAAGCTATTTGCATTTTAGGGAAGCCTCCAGTGACACCATTGGTACTGAGGCCCAAGGCTTAAACCCTAGGCTGCTATTTATATAATGAACAAATGGGCATAAGTGCACATTAATTGCTCGTGTATTCAATTAATATTACATCTAGTTTGACCCTTGGTTGATCAGGAGGCTTTGGCTGTGGCCCTCTGACCCTGCATATTTGAAAGCACACAGGAACTGGTCCTGGTAATGGCACCCTGGCATTTGTGGGGATTGCATTGTTTGGAGCTGCTTAGGCCCACATCACTTTCTTCAGTGTCTTGGCAGTAAAAGCAGACACTGTTCTTTGCTCAAGACAGGTTCTTAAATTGCCCTAAATGAAGACACTTCCTTGTAACAAAAAGAGCTCTGGTCATCAAGTCAGAATCCATGTGTTGGATCCAGAGCACATTAGTTGTACTTGAGTCTCATTAACATTGTTGAGGCTTAAGTTAGGCATGCCTTACTTTTCCCAATTACTTCAATTGGGCTTTGTGCAACTAACTTGGTCTGCATCAAATCCAGTGAACCTGTTTTCACAGAATTCCAATTCTTGAAATCTATTTCTTCATGGGTTAGAGTACATACCGCTATGAATATAAGGGACACAATAAGTATGATAAACAGATTATGTGAGCGCAATGCCCGTACATTGCAAGGCAAAATGATGGGACATTAGAGGGCATGTCTCTGGTACTCCCATGTTTCCCTTCCCCTACAATCAGTACAAGTGAGTCTATTGAACCCTATTGAATCCCTAATTGTACAGATATGAACTTGTAGTGTTGGGGATCAGGCCCATCCCTTTAGGAGGGTCCTTTGGTAACTTTTTAGACACTTGTTGGTGTCTCAGCACAAACTCTTTCTTTTCTTTTTCATTTTTGCCATTCCAAGCACAGCATCTTATTCATCCCTGCCAAGCAACTTTGGCTGTGTATGTTAAGTGAATTTCTCTCTCCTCTATTCACACCAGTGGGCAAATTTTATGAAGTCACTTCCTAAATACAATGGATGTGACTATACACCAGTGAATAGCTATGAGAGTAATGCACCCCTTTGTATTTTATTAGTACTCATGTGAAACCTTATTTAACTTTTCATGCCTTGTCATGCATGGCTAGATATTTCGTCTCATAATGCGATTCAATTCCTTGTTCTACAAGTGCCTTTTAGTACTGTGCTGATGGTGCCAAATATCTTTTTTGCAATCTGTTAGTGCTAATGCTCTCAGATGCTCATGTTCCTCTGTGCTCTTATTATCTTCCATTGCTTCCTACAGTTTAAAGAAGGTCAGAAATGATCTATCTTTTCTATGTATTTTACCTTTAATGAAATCTTTTTTATAGAGTGCTTCAGTCTACATAATGAAAGGAATGTAAGATGTCGGCCTGAGGGAAGATGAAAAATACAAGACCACTCACCTAGTGCTCTGGGTTAGATAATAACAACATGTGTGGTTTTATTTCTCTTCTTTCTTGAATTTGTTCATTTTTGACCACCAGTGGGGCAGGAGGCCAGCATATAAAAAAAGCATCAGATTGTGGGCTTAAGTGAACCTTTTGTATAATCCTTATCTACCCATAAGCAGGCACTTCTTGGCTAAGATGAATATTGGAGATGTATACCATATTAACATTTGGCAGGCAGTTATTAGAAACAAACTGCTGGACTAGATGGATCTTTTGTTCTGAACTAGAAGGATTTGAGAAAGGAGTCAAGGGAAGAGGAGAAAAATGTAAACCAGCAGCGGACTTGGTCTCTAACATTAGGAAGATATGATACTCGCAAACACAATGTTAAGCATTGTGCCATTTAATTCAGTATTGCCTACACATGACTAGCAGAGGTTCTCTAGGGTTTAAGATGGATCCCTTTCCCAACCTGAGCTGAAGATGCCAGTGATTGAACCTGGAACCTTTTGCATCAAAGCAAGGGCTCTACCACTGAGCTTACAGCTCTTCTCTCTAATATTAGCTGCTAGATCTCCCATTCTGCTTGCTACTCCTTCGCTGAAAATAACGGATATGCAATTTTGCCTGTTCTAATAAATCTAATGAACTTGCAAATGAACATGTGAAGCAGTCAAATCAACACATCCCATGGTTTTGCCACCTGTTTGGCAGATATGCTTTAATAAATCTAAGAACAATGTGCTGATGGTTTAAAATTCCCTTTCAGACCAAGAATCTGTAATGTTGGTGGCTTGTATTATAATAATATAAAGCTTCCTCTGTCATTTTCTCATTATTTCTTCCTCATCTGTCTTTGTGCAGACTAGAGGAAACCTCAAAAATAAGCTGGCAAAAAGGCAGTTGTGGTCAGTTTCTTCCCAACTGGAACAAACATTATTTACCAAAACATATTCACTCTTAAGGGACCTGGGTGGTGCTGTGGGTTAAACCACAGAGCCTAGGACTTGACAATCAGAAGGTCGGCGGTTCGAAACCCCATGACGGGGTGAGCTCCCGTTGCTCGGTCCCTGCTCCTGCCAACCTAGCAGTTCGAAAGCATGTCAAAGTGCAAGTAGATAAATAGGTACCGCTCTTGCGGGAAGGTAAACGGCGTTTCCGTGCGCTGCTCTGGTTCGCCAGAAGCGGCTTAGTCATGCTGGCCACATGACCCGGAACCTGTACGCCGGCTCCCTCGGCCAATAAAGCGAGATGAGCGCCACAACCCCAGAGTCAGTCACGACTGGACCTAATGGTCAGGGGTCCCTTTACCTTTTATTCACTCTTAAATCTTTTTTCCTGCACATCAGCCATACCTGAATCACACCACTTGAACGTGTGTTTGACTTGAGGGAGAGTTTATACTTGAGCAGTGGTTGGGTCTGAAGCTTTATTAGCTGGCTCAGCAAGTCTTAGATCAGGCTGTAACACTCAGATCTGACAGCATGCTATTTTTTGAAGTCCCTTAACCCTACGATCTCGTTATTTTGGAAGGAATGCATACCTCACCTATGCAAACATACCGGCATAATTCCTCTTTCAGCCTACTTGTTTCACAACGGCACATAATTTGATCAGGGTTTTTTGTGTGTGTGTTTTAGAAGCACATATGATCTTTCTGCTCAGAAATTTTGAATACTATTAGTTTTACTTTATAGTCAGTCCCTCCCATTTACAGTGTCTGGGCAGGTTTGCTCTTATTTCACACTCTTGGCAGGAGGTGGATAGGCTTACATGGTCTATTGCAAAGTACTGTATGATGATCATGGTATTGTATTCCATATGGTGTTTCCATTGTAGGGTTGCTGCTTATTTCCAAAAGTTCAGTTTCACACTAATGCTTCCTATACAAGGAAGTGGTCTTAAGCCATCTCATGTGGATACTATTGCTGGGACAAAGAGAAAAGCAAAAAAGCCAGATTTCTCCATTGATTAGTAGGGATCAGAAAGAAAATGCCCCTGAAGACAAGTGGGTGACCAAAGTTTCCATAGGTGTTCTAGGAAATGTATTGAGTCTGGGAAGCTATGGAGAATCTGAAGGTGTTGTGATGGTGTGCAGTATTACTTAATTACCACCATGGCATAAGCAAATAAGTTCCACTATGCTCTTTTCCAAATGAACAGTAAACCATGTAACAGTTGTGTTACATTAACTTAATTATGTACAGTCAATATATTAGATAGAAAATAAAGTATTCATCCATTTCGTTTACTGTGGGGCAAAAAGACCACCTACCGCTTGAGTGGATTTCACCCAAAGATTACTGTGCAACATCGTGTGCCAGTTTCACTGATCTCAAGTTATGAGTTTCTCTAAGGAGCATTTAATCTAATTTGAAGGTTTAAGTGTTATCATTAACATTCCTTGAATACAAGGATGTTCTGGTTTGACATATTCCTGGTCACATACCAACTGAGAATAGAATAGAATGCTGAACACTAATTAACTAATAAGGTTCTGGAACCTTTAAGGATACGAGTAGTCATGTTTAAAAAAGGAAGAAAATTATGTGGGATACTAGGATTGGTAATAATCAACTTTAAATATCTGCTAAAAGAAATTGAGTGTTTGGGTTAGTTGCAACCCATTTTCAGTGTTAAAATCTTATTTTAAGAAGCTTCTATGATAAAGGAGATGGGACAGGTTAGTAACCAGGAAAGGGTAGCACAGGACCTCTGTATAGAGCAACTGCAGGCAGGTTGTCTCCCTTGAAGGAGGTACAAACTCCATGCAGGGGGTGGGTAGGAACTCAATTGGAATACCAATAGGAGTACCAAAGATCACAGGATGCAGAAAAGATGCATAGAGAATGGTTCATTGCCCTGATTTTCTGTAAATCACAATGGACTGGGTATCTGCACGAATGGTCCATGGCCATCTGGCGAAAATGACCAGCGGCTGGCCGTGTGAATGTATCCTAAGGGGCCATCTCTGTCCTAGTGCAGAACAAGCCATCTGGTCATGGTCCTTGTGGCCCAAGCATCATGGCTTTCTTCATTTGTGTGTTGTCTTCTTTGGGAGTAGTCACAAGGTGATGTGATGTACACTGCAAAATCCCATTGCATATCCAGCTGTCCAGCTGTGTAATCTTCCTGAAGACTGTCACTTCTACTTGGAACAGATATCTGTCCACTGCTTGCCAGCAAATGTAAGCTCCTTTCCAGCAGCAAGATATAATGAGAATAGCAACAGTATGAGAAATTGCCCTTTAATCCTCATTAACAGGTGCTGAATGCATATGAGGATCCCAGACACTTGATAAAAGCAAGGGGACTGCATCTTATGTAACACACCTCATTCCCTCCACCTTTTTGCCAGGGATTTGCAACATATTTAAACCAAAAGCTATGCAACTGAAAGAATAAAATGCTTGATCCCAGGTGCCAGGTTAGTGTCAGATTTAATTAATGTCACAGCAGTTGCTGGCATGAGTTTAACTTTGATTTTCCATTACAGAATGAAACTTGGGGAAATTAAATACTGCATGATAAGGTATTTCCATGTAATCTGGAGAAAAGGTTAGAGTGTAATCTGTGATAATTCTATTTAAGATGGCAACTGTGCCTTTTTCAAACCTTCAGAGCTTAGAAGGTGCTGAAAGACATAAAATAAATATATAAATTTATTGTTACTTTACGTTCCTATTCTTGGTGTAGCTTTGATAACCAAACAAAGCCATATAATAGTGAGAAATATTTCCCTCTCCTTCTGCAAACACCCATAGGAATTATATCTAAAACATTCAGTGTTTCCAATCTTTCTATCCATTATGTGCATAAAACATGATCCAGCTCTTATATGCAGGGAGAGGAAGAAAAAGAGTATAACTGCATTGCTGGCCCTGCACCAGCTGCAGTCCACAGGAATGACATCTTTTCCTCGAATGCTTTCCTGGAGATGATGTGATCATTAAGCTGTATCCCCAAAGCAGTAAAGTGACAGAGACAGGGTCAGGTTCATAGGTGCAGACTGGCTGCCCTGCCAAATGCAAGTGTGTGGCTGCATGACCGAAAAGGATCCTTTACAGCTGATATAACTTGCTGTTGTCTTGTTCTCAGCGACTCATCTGGGAATGCAGGCAGTTATCAGATTGCCCAAGCAAGGCTTGCAAATCCTTCCCTGCATAGCATGCCCTCAACTATGCTCTGACCAACCCCACCCACAAACCAACAGGACTGCATTCAAATGGTGCCTTATTCCATTTTCATGACTTTTTCCTGTTAAGTTCTGCAGTATATATCTGAACTTTCATACAACGAAAAAGCCACTTATGAAACTATAGTGGAATATAGTACAAGTTTATTGCTCATTATTGTGTTATTTGCTTCCGGGGGTGGGGGGGACTTTATTTGCAAGTAATATAGAAATGAGTGCTAAACATGTGCTATATTCCACTATAGTTTCAGAAGTAGCTTTTATGTTGTGTGAAAGCTCAGACTTAATGCGGAAATTAACAGTTAGGGAAATGTCCGTAAAAAATAAACAAACTGCTGTTTAAATGCAGCCAAGGGATTGATGGTTTAACCTATTTGCATTTTCATGCCAGGTTTGTATAGATCTCATCTGATTTTGTGGATTTAAAGAAAGCATGAGAAATGTGTGTTTACATTTTAAACACTTTGTACACATTTTGTATGCCTTCCATTCCATTAGTATATATTTTGTATGCTTTTCAGTGCATTTTCCTCAATAATGTACATTTCTCAGCATAATTCTACTTTTTTGAGCAGAACTGTGTTGCAGAATTTGGATAAGTGGATAAGTTTGGGATGGATGAGTTAGATTAGTTGACTTTAAAATATAAAGTAGGCTTAGAAAGACCCATTGAAGTCCAGTCCATCTGAGTTTTACATGAAAACAGGACTAAGCACATTGCATTTCTGTGTGGTCTTTTAAGAGGAAATCCTTAAAAATCCACAGGGAAGCACAAAGGCAACATTTGTGATGAAAAGTTCTTGCGATGTGGTCTGAGTGCTGCAGCCCTGCTCTTTTACAGCTTTAAAAAAGAGAGTCCAGTGGATTAGAGCAGCTCATGTGTATGAATGAATCAATTTATTTCAGAATGCACCAGAATGCACATGTGTAGTGTTTTGCACTTCTGCACCCCCTTATTAAAATATTGCAAGTCTTCTTGATGATCCCTTGCTTGGAGTTGGATGTGACATGCCTATCCCCATGTAAAGTGGACTTGCAGTATTTCAGTACTGAGCACATGGTGGCAAGGAGCACCACGCGCTAGCCAACTAGATTGCTTTTTTAAAAAATGTAAAAGAAAGAGACCAGGCATTGCGTCAGTCCACATATTGCCTTATCTGCAGATTCTGATGCGGATGTGGACTAGATTGAATCAGGTGAGTCTTCTTTGGAATCTGGACAATTTCTACCACATCTCTACCACTACAATGACTCTAGTTGGATTTTTCATGCTGTAGGTAGGAATAAATTGTGATTTAAGATTTAACCTGGCTATAGATGTCCTCTTAGAAGGTGTGGAGGGACTTTGAAAACTGGTGTTGATGCTACTGCAGGAAGGTTTGAATAAGCCCTTGGCCTGAAGAGGCAGCTTTTAATTTTTTACACATTCTTTCACATTCAAGACAGCTAACCTTACATTTAGAATGGCTGCAGAATCAACATACAAGTCAGGCATGCTTTTACTTTTCTACCTCAGGCAACAAGTAGGGGAACTACTTTTTAACTTTAATTGTAGCGAGCATGACCTGGAGTAATTGGTCAGCAATAAACATGATGCCACTTTATGACCTCATTTCAGTTTTTTGGTTGTTGTTTTTTACTGTAATAGAAAGGTTTGCACTTTCTATTAAAGTGTAGATCTGAAGTGAGGCCATAAATTACTCTGGCAAAGTCTAGAGTGCCCATTACTGGAACCTACTAAAACAAAGATTAGAAAAATCATCTATCATGGCTAGTTCGTGTATAGCCTCTACTTGCAAAAATATGCTAGAAAACATTCCCAAGCATCTGCTAACCCTGAGATTTTGGAAAATGTCAGAGCAATCATTTGACTCATGCCAAGAAGATAGATAAGGATTTTGCTACTTTATTATAGGGTGAGGGCTCACATTAGGCAATAATATTTTTTGGAGATCTTTTCCTGGATACTGGCAAAATTTACAGCTGGTTAAATTATAGCAAGAGGAGCTTTAAAATTCATAGGCTGCTCTAGCCTAAAACGAACAGCTCCAGCTAGAAAGGAAGTCAGATGATAATGGGTTGTGTTCAGTGTAGCCCTGAGGTGGATTCCAACAGTGCAAATATTTCTTCTTGAACAATAGAATGTTCTCCTGCTCTCCTCCCCCCATGCAGCCCCTAAATCTGTTTCAGCGGTTCTCCCAACTACCCAGAGCAGATTTGGGGACCACATGGGGAGGAGAGGGGCAAATCGCATTGTGCTAACACTAATCCTTGCCACTGGTGCAGTTATTTTGCTGAGTACCACCCAATAGCTGTAAGAAAGCGCAAACTAGAAAAACCAATAAAGCGTAGAACTGCAGTGATGAACTGTGGAGCACATAAAGAAGGCAATGGGGGAGGTATTGTTGGCTGAGTGGCAGTATGCACATCTTGCATTAATTTGGTCCCAGACCGAGTCCCCAGCATCTCATGAAGGACCCCTCAAGCTCTGAAGAGTTGTTAATCAGTCAGCAGACAACGCTGCACTAGATGGACCAGTGGTTGAACTTGGATAGGTCATACAGCTTCACATGTTCACAATAAGTAATGCTGTATATTTGATTAGTTGTAGGTTGACGTTGTTGCCAAAGTTAATCCATGAAAATATTTGTGATCATTTATTTAGCTAGACATTTTCATCCACCCCAGAGTGTTGGGAAACAGATGGATGAAAGCTTGTCTTCCTGCAGGCTTCCCTTGCTATTTATACTTGGAGAAATTTGATAACTTTTAGGAAAACATCATATTGACTTTCCCCAACCTCAATTGAGGACATTAGGGCCTGCTTTGAAAATCTTATTATATCAAAGATTTCATTGCACTGTTGAAGAATAAGGGCTTCTGTTTCCATTTTAATTAACGTGGTCAATCATATGGATGGAGATCTTTGTCGCAGATAAGCCCAATTAAAGATTTCTCTTTTTTTGTTTCATAGCATTCTGGTCTTGGTCTGAAAAACCTTTCTTATTAACCGTTTTCTCCCTTGACTGTCCTGATTTGCTTTGCTGTGCACTATTAAGCAGAGTGGCAGAAAACATCTACAGAAACATGGCATTATTCCTTCAGCATGTGGATAAGGCATGATAATCTTGTTAGCTAGTATGCATCAGATACTAAGAAATAAACACTGGTCAATTAAAACATTCATCAACTGCGCTATCTTGAAACTGTTCTGGTACAGTTGCTAGAACTAAAAATTCATTAGCCTTATCTTCAGTCTGTCTAATCCTATGCATTATAAATGAAAAATGTTTCTATTTGCAGAAGGTTTTACACACATCCACTTTTCCTTTTAGTACTATCTAATGGAGTTGACGCTTCAGTAATAGAACTTAGAACAGTTTAATCGCCAAGGAGAGGGAACAATGCTTTTTATTGTTTACATAATTTTCGTTTCCTCATTTATCACCATTACAAAACAGATATACAAGGACTGTTCCCCCCCTTTCTGTTTTCTCCCTGTACCAAGGAAAGTACCGAGTGATTGGAGGTATAATTTCACCAGTTAATGATGAGTATGGAAAGCAAGGTTTGGCAGCAGCAAAGCATCGTGTAGCCATGGCTCAACTTGCACTGGAGACCTCCGACTGGATCAGAGTAGACCCTTGGGAGAGTGAGCAAAGGCAATGGAGTGAGACTGTAGTGGTTCTCAGGTAATGATGATGTCTCTCTGTGTTGCTTCTGCATTCGATGATCAAAAGAATCATGGGGTGTCTCAGATAAGCTGTATTTTAGGAATCTTGCCAGCACTACAAAATTATACGCTAAGGGCAGAATGAGCTAAGGAAATTCAAGGGAGTGGGGTCTTATGCTACATTTTTACAAATCTGGGCTTTCAGTGTACCAAAAATGTCTTGAGAAGGACTAGGGGAAATGTAAAGCTGGCAGGCTGCTTTACAGTGAAGAAGTGGCTGATCTCCCAAGGAAGGAGCCAAGAGCTTTTAAAGGGGTACTGAAGCCCACCAGGCCACTGGATGGTTTCACACATACACAGTGCGGAGGGTTAAATGGAAAGTCAGGAAGCTGTGTTATCTTGTTATATATATTTGATTACAACAATAACCTTCCTGGGTGAAGAATACTCTAATTACTGTATACAGTTCCAATCATGGCATAACAGGAAAAGCTAAATAAATATTTTGCTGTTTTAGATTATTGCTAGCTAAACATGTATGTTCTTCAAAGCCAACAAATTGGGCCTGTAGCTCAGAGTAGGTAGGGGAGCAATATTTTCTCATAATCTTTGAGTCATACCTGTAGAAATAAACTTAGATTATTATTTTTTGTAGAAGCTCTCCCTTTGAATCAAACATGTTAGTGTGCAACAACTTATCACATGTACTAGGTAACTTTTATCTAAGCCAGTGATGTCCAAACTTTTTTCAAAGAGGGTCAGATTTGATGAAGTAAAGGGCTGTGAGGGCAGACCAAAGGGCCAACCCCAGGAAATAAACTGCCACAGGGGCTGGATTAAACTGACCAGCAGGCTGGATTAGGCCCCCAAAATGGATTTTGGACATGCCTGATCTAAGCCACTATAAACATTAAGTGAAAATATCCTTTGGTGTTTGAAAACTAACACTTTTCAACCAAATGGATTGAACTTCAAAGGTGAGTCCAATTACCCTCCTCGTAATGCAGTGTTCCTCTCCAACAGGAAGGCTGTATAAATATTTCTACCAATCACTTTATTAGAGTATTACAGCTCAGTTCTGTCTATGTTTATTCCAGAATTGCCATTGTATTTTGTGGAGCTTACTCACACTTAACCTGGGAGTAAACATCCCCCTGTGCATAGGAATACATTGTTAATGTACTTCCTCTAAAGAGAGTTTCCCCCTCCCAAACTACAACACTCATAAGCATCTGAACTGGGGATGCCTATGCACATAGACCTTGCCCTTTAAGCATATATGGGCATACCTGAGGTCCTGATGGTGCAGACTTCAGTTCCTAGGAAAGCCTTTGTGTGTAGAGAAGAACTATGTACTCAGGCTTGCCCAGCTATACCCATCCGTGCCTAGGATGTTGGGGATGGGTCTGGGGTAAACTGTGATGTTGGAAGCAGGGCCAGCGGCACAAAGCCATTGTCCCTTTCTCAGTGTGAACCCCTTCACTAACATATGAAGGGACCTGTGAGATACATGGTGATGAAATGGTACCTCTCAGCTATCTGTTTCGTTGTCTGAGGTTCATTTACAGCCATGACTCCCTGATGTCTGCTTCATCCAAATGTCTTTTGGTAGTATTTTTTTCCTCCTTCAAGACAGATGCTGTTCGCTTTCCTGTGATTAAATTGATATTCTGCTCCTCATTCCAAGTCTCTTGTGCTTTCTAAGGCTGTGTGTTGAACAGTCTGAAGTCCTTAGAAGACCCACCTTGGGTTGTGTTTTTTTTGCCTCATATAAGGAAAACTTTGTCTGGCATTGTCATCATTAACAAAGATGGCTTAGAATGGGTGTCTGAATGCATTTTTCATTGCTGTGGCATGGCAGACACAAAACTGGAGGGCTGTGTCAAAACTCATTTGATCACCGGAAGGCCTGTATCCTTTGTATACTTCAGTGTTTTTGTCTTACATTTCAATAAAACACCTAGGCAGATCAAATGTCTGTCAGTCTTTCACTTGTGAGACAAGGAAGGTTTTTTCTACAGGTTAACTCAGCTAGGGATCCTGGATTTCCTTCCGCCTGTCCTCACCCCCCAAAAACCTGGGTGCTTTCTTGAGTTTTGGCTTGCTTTCTTCAGTCATCTGACATCTTTTGATATGCATCAGATTAAAATAATGAACCTAGTTGTTTGCTAATGTCTGACTTCTGTAGGCTTAATTTTGGTAGGCTTGGGTACGTTGTGCTTCATTGCAACAAATGTCACTTTGATATTTTCTCATTCTGTAGTTTTTGGATATTCTTGCCATAGTCCTGCAGAACTGATTCACCAAAGAAGCCAAAATTCTCTTTCCCAGAGTTCATCTCAGATGTCTCTCTACCTTTTTCTCCCGTGGAGCTAGGAGGCATAGGCCTTCTTTTAGGCACTTGTACTTTTTGCTTCTGAAGGCACTGAAAACCTGCTTACCATTCTATTGTACTGATCCTTATGCTAGTTTACAGTGCAAGGATTATTCTATTATTCCCACTTACTTTTTCTTTACACAGGCATATACTCTTGTTCCTGTCTCGATGCCTTGACAGTTATTCATGTCTGTCACAGATCACATTCTAGTTCTCCAATAATGGCATTGCATCTTGCTTTATCATAGAATTGTAAAGCACCACAAGGGTCATCTAATCCAGCCTCCTGCAGTTCTGGAATCTAAATTATATTTTGTTTATTGTTATTGTTATGTTCCTTCCTCAGTCTTGACAAGAAGGAATTGCTGTTGAGTCTACAAAATATATGGGAAAAGAAATGTTGCTTAATTGTCTTTTGATCCACCTCTCTTCCCATTTCTTTTGCATTACCCGATTTGAGAGTTCATGCATGCCTTCTTCCTTGTCCTGTAAAATTACAATATTCAATTAATGCTTAACAGATTCTGCTAGGCAGTTGTCACAAGATGCTTTGCTTAATCTTTGAGGACTTCTATAAATAAGTAAAATGTCTAGTGATGCTGCATCTGGAAAGCATCAACACCAGACTTTGGGAAGAGGTGTTGAGAATTGTCAGGGGAGAAGGAAAAAAAACACCTTCTATTCAAGTTTGCAAGTATGTTCTTTATGCTTTAAAAGCTAGGCGATATGAGTAGATTGACATACTGCTTGCCGAAAGTGCAAAATATAATCAAACTGTAGTAAGAAATCTCTGTACAAAATGAATGTATATTCGTCACCTAGCTTGGTACTTTCTGTAATCTTCAGCTCATACTGTGTCTCGGCTTGGCTGGACTCTTCCTATGCAGCACTCCTGACACTGATCATATATCTAGCTGAATCAAGCTGTGAGAATTACAGCTGGCAAACTGCATCTCCAAAGCTGGTGCTTTTTTCTTATTCTTAATTAACACTGCATTATTATTATTTCTTGGGATTTCTTATTTGCTTCCACCATGAGTTTCCAGAGTGGATATCAACATTTTAAAAAATACAACATTAACATCAGTTAAAACAAATCAGCATTAGTTGTGATGTATCTAACTTACAGTACAGCCCTATACATGTTTACTTAGAAATAATTCCCCCCATCCACGAGCTTAGTAGGACTTACTCCCAGGAGAGTGTAGATATAGATAGGATTGCATCCTTAAGATGTCAAGCTTTGGCACATCTCCCAGTAGAGGAATGCAAGAGGCGGGAAATCCTTCTTCCTGTCTTTAACATTTTAAACAGCTACAACACTGCTGCATATTCAGGTGTGAGGAAGTTCATATGGAGGTGAAATGAGCTTGTTCTTAACCTTTGTAGGCCTCTGAATAAGTTTGGCACATTGCTTGCAGCTTGCTTGGAGTGTAGCTCTACAGTTGTCTACCGGTTTTGGCAACCATATTCATTGTGCTCACTTTACACTCCTTACATTTGGATGCCTGTAGAGTAGTGGGTTCAATTTAGAGCAAACAAACCAACACTGAATGGTATAGGTTCTGATTGTAGAAGAAAGCTGCTCCTGGAATCTAGCTGCAGGCTTGTGTTTGAATTTTTCAGTATTCAACTCCATGGTGGGTCTTGAACTGTGATCAACTGGGAAATGTGAGGAGATGATTCAGCATGTCCCAATCCAATCTTCCCCAAAGGAGACCAGAAACATCAGCAAGGAAGCCTCTTGACGCAAATAGGCCACATGGGAGACACTTTGATCCTTGTAAATAGGATCTGGGTCAGGCTTGTCACTGGTCTGGGCAACTAAGAAGCTTTGATGTCACTGCTGGCTTCAGGCCACCTTTGCCTCACGCCCCTGAGCATCTGCTTTACCTATCTCCTGACAAAGCTTTGCTGTGCTGAGTTATTCCGTTTGTTCCCTTCCATATTTCTATGTTCTCACCTTTTAGAAAGCTCTTCCTGGTTTCCTTGCCAGCCTGGATCCAAACAACTGTGGAGCTAACTAAGCAGTTCCTGTTATGTTGTTGGTGTCTCCCATTCAAAAGAATAAAAAGTAAAACATTCTATAGGACATTCTCAAAGAAGACCTTCGAGCCTAGTCAATGACCTTTTTTGTTATTCTCCTCTTTTTGAAATTGGAGCGATTTTTTTTTATGTGACCATTTTGCAGCTTATTCTGTAAATGCCTGAAATCTTTATTACATTTTATTGTGTGTTATAAAGCTAAAGTCCAACAAAAGATACCGTTTTACATGCGTTATATCTCCTAGAGGAGTAAAAGCAACATTAAAAAGAAATAATGGTCAATCGAAGATGTTCAAGTTAGGACAAGAATGTTAGCCGCCATTGACACAAATCTTGCAATGCACAGAATTAATATGGCAAGTTCTCCAGCCATCTAATTAAGCCCTGAAGTACACAAAAGCCGATTGAGTTTTAGAAACTGAAAGTGCAAGATAATCGCTTTGTGTATCTCTGAGAGGATTACCTTACACAGAGCCTTTTATTTTAACACAGGCACCATTACAAAGAACTGCTTAAATCACACCATATCAAGGAACTGCCTGGAGAAAACAATTGGCCCATAGAAAAGGCTGCCGGAGCATCGTTTGCTTCATCACTCACAGGTTTGTTACTGCTTTCGGTAGTGTTCCTTGTGTACATGATAATGCCTTGCACCTTTATCAGATTAATACCCATGCCTAAGTAGGAAAATAGTGCATTTATTTATGCTTGTGGCTGGAGCCAGGGGTCAAAAGTTGGGAAACTAATGCTGTGGGAGATGTATCTGATGCAGCTTCCCAGGTGTGGAGAAAGGAATTGCTGGTATCATGGTGGCTGGTTCTGCCCTACCAACTACCTATGGTTCGTTAGCATGCCTCAAGATTTCCCTTGCATCCATTGCACGTACAGCATATGGGGAGCTCTCTCCAAGCAGCTGACAACTTTGCAGGATTTGCAATCAGAGGGGAATTTATTTCTGTGTGTTTAGTTGTACATGTCAGCGTACAGAGGTAGAGCCTGCCACAGCAATGCCATTGCATCACTGTGTGCATTCATGTCTCACAAACAAATGAAGAAAATGTCTCAAATTGTAGTTTGAGAGCCTGTGAAGCAGTACAGTAATGAATGTGCGTAGGTTGTGTCATGACCTACCTCCCTGAACACCTGGAAAATGCTACGGAGTCCAGTGATGCCGAAATTTCAGTTTCAAACCACAACTATGCTTTTTTGTTTTAATTCCCGATTAGCTCCCTTTCTAGCCCTTTTCTCTTCCTCCCAAGTTGTGCTCGCTCTTCCCTGCATGTACTCCTAAATGAGCTTTTAATTCCTATTTAGTAATGCATAGTCAAGACCCCAACAGATGTTCTTCAACCACCTGCAAGCAGTGAATGATTTTAGCTTATCTCTCCCATGCTAGGTTTAATCCCTCCCATGCTGTTGACAGGCTTGCCTGATGCTTAAAATTTCCATATGTACCTTGCACAATGTGTTAGTAACTACTGTTATCCCAGTTGTCCCGTGGATCATAGGCCAGGGTCATACACATATAGATATATGATTTGTATTTGCAGCCTGCCTTTCTCTAAATAGTCCCAGTACAAATTATTATTAAAATCATAAAATAAAAACACAAAACTAACCAACGGCAAAGTTAACAGGAGTATAGAAAAGTAATGCAGGATAATGGAAGAGCATCCATTCAACCAATTGTCAAAAAGCCTACAATGATGGTGCAAGACTCACCTTGGAGGGGAGATTATTCCACAACCATGAATTATGCTGACTTTCTTCTAACATGAGGAAGTCCCTTCAACAAATGGAGGGAGCCCTGGATCCAATCCAGCATCTACAACACCCCTTTTACTTACCTATTTCTAAATTATATTTTCTATGCTTGCTTTAAAAAAACAAAACAAAACTTAAGGAAGAACTTTTTGTAGAGAAAGGCAAGCTTTGCTAAGCATGCAGAGATTTAGCTCAAGAAACAATTTTTGGAAGATCTTTGATCATTTTTTATTCTTAGGCTTGCATTTAGCAAGGTCCTACACAGAGTAGACCCATTAAAATCAATAACCTAAGTTAGCCTCCATCAATTTCAGTGGGTCTATTCTGACCAGTACTAACAATAACAATACTAACTACAGTGAGGGGGGAAAGTATTTGATCCCCTGCTAAATTTGCCCATTTGCCCTCTGACGAAGAAATGACCAGTCCATCAATCTCTGACTTTTGTCTTCTGGGTTTCTGGGGGTTTTCCTGTTGTTCTGTCTCTCACAGCTACAATAAACGTACCATTAAAATTATGGACTGGTCATTTCTTTGTCAGAGGGCAAACCGGCAAATTTAGCAGGGGATCAAATACTTTTTTCCCTTACTGTATGCAACAAAGAAAAACAATTCCCATTTTGGCTCCTTAAATCACCCTCTATTCAATGTCATGCCATTACATTAAACAGAGGGAAGGAAAGAGACTGCAGGGTAAATAGTGGGGGTGCAGATGGAGCACTCATGGGAAATAAGCTTCCACACTTTAGTTTTTACTCCGGCAGCGTACATTGAAAGGACAACATCTAGCAGATTGTGCAATGTCTGGCTGCCAAAAAAAGCCCATCCTTCAAGACTCCTTAAAGGAGTTTCCAGGGGGTGGATTGAATGATCTGTGGCGTACAGAAGCTTTCTTCAGCTCAGCTAAGAGAGAACACTCTCATGACTGCAAAACATTTGTCAACCAGAAAATATTATAATTCTTCTCCAGGTTGGATTTCAGTCTGAGCTGGAGAGGAACTCAGACCCTTGTAAAGCTTGCATCTCCTTTGAGATGGACTTTAATGAGTTCTCAATGAGCCTGGCTTCTCTGACATCTCTACTTTCTTGTTAGTATAACAGCAGCCTGCCATTTTTGAGAACATCTCAGTTTTTTGCTGTTTCCTTTTGAAAGGTCCTCTGAGATATTTACAAGGGCTGCTATCAGTTTAAAACGTTTTCTGCTTCTGTGTAACTTATTTTAGTAGGTCTTCACATCTCCGATAAGGGTCACTGAGTTTAGCATCACATACAGAGTAGTCTTTTCCTTTTTATAAGAGACCCTTGATTTTTATTTCATTTCAAATTGAACTTGGGCAGAAAACCTGGTTGGTTTCCTACCTGTTTTGGTTTGAGAGTTTTGTCTCTTAATGAGATCTTGCAGGCTGTTAAAGCTAGCTGCTTTGTTTGTGCTGATGGCAGTTTCTCCTTTAGCTAACTCGGTTTTCCTTTCTGGCAGGGTATTATGGAGTATTAGAATAACTTTTTTGCTACCAGTATTGATTCAGATATTCCATTCAGAACCTTTCCAAAAATAAAAAAAGGTTCAAGTATGCTACAGAAACTGAATCACTCTTACTGGAATTGCAGTTTAGAAAAACCATTATCAGTTGTGAAACTGCAAGATCATTATTTAACAGTAGCCCTCAAAAGTCCAAGGAAGTTATATTCCTGTTTTTCATCCCTCTAGACTTGATTCTATCAGCAACCTTCTTTAAAAAGCCATTTAGTTGTTCAATTCTGGTTTTAAGATTTGATGCCTTTCTGAAGAGAGAGCCTTATGCTGTTCTCACAATTTTTAAAAATAGACATTTTGATGTCGGGAATGATGGATGATAGTGTGTTGTATGTTGCTTGACCATGTTGGCATTTGATGTTGGTTGTCAAAGAGGGCTGCTTGTATCTTTATTCAGAGGGAACCTGCTAGATAAATCTCTACCCCAAGCTTCAGAATATGCTTTATAGTTTGGATTTTTCCAAACACACACACATCCTATCATCTATCTATCTATCTATCTATCTATCTATCCATCATCTAACGTCTATCTATCTAAATTGGTGTGGGTGTAACCCCTGCTGAATCAGTCTAGTCTGGCATCCGTTTCCAACTAGATGCCTGTAAGAATCTCACAAGGAGGACCTAATTTCAACAGCTCCCTTCCCACTTGCAATTCCCATGGAACAGGGGCAGCCTCTTTTTTTGGTACATTGCCCCTGTAAGGCTAAAAGGCAAACTATATGTGTGGGTGGGGAGGTTGGCTGCCCCCATATGTACATAGGAACCACAATCTTTTTCTCTGTACAATCACTGAGGAAATAATGGTTTGTCATAACTAAAGTATCAACACAAGAGAAGGAAACTGGTGGATTCTACACACATATAAAAAACACATGGTGAAAATGCTTTTTAAAAAACGTTTTGAAAAATACATTGAATTTGGCATAACTCACTGTCACCATCTAGTGTCACATTTGTATATTGCACTTTACATCATTTTTAAAACGTTTTATTTGCAGCTGTAAAGCAGAGTCTTGTGTGTAACTATGTGTTGTAATGAGTGAGATAGTGAATGAATGAATGCATATTTGCATGACTGTACCGCTAAATATTTGCTGGAAACTCTATGAGTTTCCCATTCTTTCAAAGAATTTAATCAAGGGTGGTTACAAATGGGAAGGATTGTGCAACCCAGTGGGAGTGGTGTGCATAGCATCATTTTTTCCTACTGGAGCTCCTGAAGCAGCCACATGTCTCTGCCCTGCCCAAAGGTACCTGTACTTCTTTGGGCATGGGAAGGTGGTAGAGCCAGTGTCCTTCAGGTCTTAATGTGTGTTCATTTCCAAAACTGATAAATTATTGACCACTTTCAGCATGAGCTCAGAGATGGTCATGCATTGCTACATGGAAACTTTTGTTGGAAACCCAAAGAATCTGTAACTCCTTGCATTACAAGTTGGACCAATCCACATTTGTAGCTGCCTCTGTTGAAATATGTGGATCAGTCCTTAAAGCTTAAACAGAGTGATTGCTCCAAAATTTCAAAATAAAATTATTAATAGTAATAATAAGTAACCTGTATTTTGTTATTGTGGAGATCTTCCTTAGTGTGCATATGCTTATTTGAAAAGCAAATTAAGATGTAATAAGTGGGCTTAAAGGTTCACTTGTTTTCTGGAGAACTGCATTCATATCCTTTAAAGAAGGATATTGCTGGAGTGAGAAGGAGTCAGCCAGGGCAGCAATTATTATTAAGTTCTTGTAGAAGCTTATCTGAAGAAAGATCCTGATAAGACTGCATTTGTTTACATTATGAAGAAGATGAAAGGAGACAGAAAATAATGGTAGACAAGGCAGTGAAGAAGCTAGAAAATAAAGGTGTTTCTAACATGCCTCAGAAGTGAAACAGTGTTGGAGTATGCCTTATTTCAGTGGGGAAGCTGCTCCCAAGTGTTGGTGGCACAACAGAGAAGGCTTTGTTCTTGGTGTTGCTGGATGAATGTGTGCACAAGCAGGAGGGGTTCTGAGAATGACTGCAGGAACAGGTGGGTCCGTGTGGGCAAAGGCATATGATGTCCATTTGCCATTTGAAATAATACACTTTAGGGAGGGTTTTACAAATGCACACTATACCTTTAAAGCACATTCTTTCAAAGAATCCTGGGTACTGTGGTTTCTTAAGAGTTGCTGGAAATTATAACTCTGTGAGAGGCAAACTACAGTGCCCAGAATTCTTTGGAGGAAAGAATGTGCTTTAAAGCTTTATTGTGTAAGCAGCCTTAGCTTCAGTAGATTCTAGCGGGCTGCTGGTTGAATTTTAGGTGTGTGTGTTCATATAAACTACAAATACAAATGTACATCTAAAGGGGATGTTTCAGCAAAAGAAAATAATGCAAATGATATTATGTTCTTGCAGTTGTCCCTGAGTTAAAACTTCTGTGTGGAGCTGATGTTCTGAAGACGTTTCAAACACCTAACCTCTGGAAGGAAGAACACATTTTAGAAATAGTGGGAAAATTTGGGTTGGTTTGTATTAGCCGCGTTGGCAACGATCCTTCTCAGTTTATCTCTCAGTCAGCACTTTTAAGCAGGTACCAGCACAATATCCACTTGGTTAGGGAGTGGATTCAAAATGAAATCAGTGCCACAAACATAAGGCACGCCTTGCGCAAAGGGCAAAGTGTGAAATACCTCGTTCCAGATTCTGTTATTTCCTATATTAAGCAACACAATATATACACAGATGAGACTGAACGAAGAAATGAAGGGGATTTGCTGCAGCCACTTAAGCGATATTGTTCTGTCGTCAGCCCTCTTAATGACTGATGGTAATATGGGGCTTGTCCTCACTTCCGCTTATCCTGTGCCTAGAAATCATGGGTCTGAGTGGGCTTCCACTTTTCCCATGATTTTTAGGCATGGGTCCGAATAGTATTACATTTGCCCCACCTCTTTCCCTCAAAAAAGCCGCTGTTAGCACTAAATCAGGGCAAATGCTAATTTAGAGAAAACCTGACTGACTTTTGCTCCAGTTCAGCTGTAAGCAGTGGGTTTTCCTGGGGGAAAGCAGCAGAGCAGGTAGATGTGTGGTTGAGCCCTAAGTTACCCACTTCACAGAGTGACAATCCTAAACAATATGCCTGTAAAGGAAAGTAAGCTTGGTTGTGATAATAATGGAGCAATCCATTTTATGGGAAAATCCGTCTGTGCCAGTCAAAAGCTGTGGTGAAGAACTGATGAATGAGCCTATCTCTGTTCACAAAAGGACTTCCCCACTGACCTTCAGCGTTGGAGACAGTTTTGCACACTTAATAGGGATGTAGATCCAGGTCTTTCCTCTTGTTGAAATGAATGAAGAAAAGAGTCCTCGTTCCACCTGATGTTTCTTGCAAGCACTGGAGTCTATTTATAGGCACTGGAAATCTAAAACAAAGACTGCCTGCTGCATTTGGTTTCTGCCTTGCCATCTGTTATGCGAAGAAGTTTATCATTTTAAGTATCACTATTGACAGTGAATCAAAACAAGCTCTCATATCACGTGATCCTAAACAATTCACTTGTAAGTCAGCCCCACTGATTTCCATAAGATTTGTTTCCAACGTTGTGTGGTGTGGGATTGTGATGTTACAATCTTCTTTTGTTTCTTGGTAGCTCAGCCAATAAAGCGTGAAACTCTTAATCTCAGGGTCGTGGGTTTGAACCCCATGTTGGGCAAAAGATTCCTTCGTTGCAGGGCATTGGACTCAGTGACCCTTGTGGTCCTTTCTAACTCTACAATTCTATAATTCTATGTCTGGACTTTGTTTGAGGTTTTTCTTTTCTTTCCTTTCTTTTTGGATGTTGTGAACTATTTTTGTAAGTCTTTCGCCACATCGCAATGCCACAATGCTTTCAAAGTCTTTACTGCAAAATTGTCAAGCCATTGCCTGCAGTCCCACTTATCAGCACTGGATTTGAAAGGATGCCTTCCTCCACCCTCACTTCATAAATGGACTTATAATATTTCTTGTAAATTGTATTTTAGCACTGCAGCATTTGTGTTTCTAAAGACGCAAAGAGAGAAAACGTATATTTTTCTGTAGCTGACATCTTTACACCTGTATGGGTGTTTCACAAGCTCTTCTAATAAATTCAGGGGGTGGAAGCTATATAAGGTCTTTTAACTCTGCTGTTGTGCTGAAAAAGGTTCCCAGAGTGGCTTACAAAGTTCAGAAATAACTTGCAATCCAATAAACAAAGACCAGGTGTGAATTTACAATCTAAAATACGTGACACAAAAGGAAAAAAGGTGTGGGAGGGAGGAAGCAAAAGACAAACCCAGAGACTAGTTCTTGGTTACAAATTTCACCAGGCAGAAATTAAGCAGGTCATGGAGCTGGATCTAAGCACAATGGAAGGGCAACTGCTTCCAGTCAGGCACAACAGATTTGCAGTGACACAGGTACTACAGCAATGCAGTTTTCTGCCATGGGGCACACCCGTTCAGCTTTTAACAAAAGAGAGGATCCAGCATATTTCATCTTAACACCAGCCAACCCAGAAGACACAGTTGTGAGTTCCATTACTTCAGGGCAATATTTCAAAGGAGCATTGTCTGTATATGGTTCGTGCCAGTGACATAAGTCTAGCCTGCCTTCCTGCTCAAACACAGGGAATCATCTATAAAAATGTCTTCAGCAACCTCATTACGAAGAGAGAAGAATACAAGTCAGAATTCTGAAAGATGCTTCTTTCCTCTGGCCTACTCAGCAGTTCAGACAATGTGTGAGAATAAAGAGACAGCCCCATTGTCTCTATCTCCATTGGTTCTACCCCAGATGCAGGATTGTCTGAAGGGGGTTTCTTCACATGTTTGGCTGAGTACGCTTACACAATATTCCTGTGACCAATAACGCTGCACAAGCAGGATTCTGAGTACATTTAGCATGTAGAAAACTCCCATTCAAACCTTCCTGCTCAATGTGAGATGATAAGGGATGGTGCTTTGGGAGGGCAGGTATTGGCACATCCACTCCCTCTTTGAATTTCTTTTGTGGGTCTGCTATCATTCTGAAATAATCTGGTGGTTGCAGAATACCATATATAAAGCATTGCTTTGCATACAGCTTCATAAAACACCTATTTTGCATGTGACTTTTGGAAGAATGTTTATAACTTGCAAATGAAGTGGTACATTTTTCTGGAAACTGGTTTCAACACACCTACTTCTGTGTCTTTTAGAGCTTGACAATCAATGTGATTGTCAAACATCCATTACTCCCTTGTCCTTACCCTGCTTGGGGGTGGGGCTGAAAATAAAGCAAGGGAAGTTGAAAGGAGGACAAATCAAAACTGGGGTGCCATATGGCAAACTTTTCATCGATTCAATTTCTGTCCATTTTTCAGGTAGAATTTGCAATATAATAATAATGGATAGGATGTTGGACTTTAAACAAGGGGTGCCTGAATTCAAACTCCTGCTTAGCTGTGAAGTTCATGGAATGAGCTATTAATTTTTAGCCAGCTGCTCACTCTCAGCCTAACCTACTTCACTGTGCACATCCTTCACTTATAATGTTCCTCCTCCTCCCTTTTTGTTTGATCAATATCTCTTGAGCAGATTGTACCCCTCAATTTCTACATTCCTCTCATGAGTCTCAACCCACCAGGTTTCAGTAATGCCTATTAGGTAATATTTGCCATCCTGTATTAAGAACTCAAGTTCTTTTTGCTTGTTTCCCATACTCTGTACATTCGTGTAGAGACAACTGAACCATGAGTCATGTCTTTGCACACTGCTGCCTCTGTCCCCCTCCATAGGGAGTCAGCTGCTGCCACCACACATCTCTTCCTTCTCTGGTGAGCAGCAGGAATCGTTCTGTACATTGTATCTTCCACTGCCACCTTGCTGTGTTCTGAGGTATGCAACCACTCTACTTGCTCCTGTAGCCTTAGGCGAGGGCATGAAATCGACACAGCCTGGCTCCTGGCAGTCCTGCTTTTTTGTGCCATGTTCCTCCAGGGGTTCATCTCTTGCACAGGGTGATCCTTCTAGGGGCCTGCATATCTGTTCCAGGACCGTCCACTCTGGTACATCAAAGCCCCACACTAGTAAATTAACACAAGTAAGCAAGTTTATGTTATTCACAAACACCATTGCAAAGAAGCCAAACTCGGGCAGCTAATGGTATATGGCCCACAAATACATAAATGGGGAGGTGCTGGAATAGAGATCCAACCCCATTTTAAGTTGTTTTCCCTCCTATCGTGAGATGGCGCAGCTCTTCTGTTCTCACTGTCTTTGTGTGTTTTAAATTTAAAAATCACCTGCCACTGGCAGATTTTCTCTTGCCAGATTTTCCCCTTGCGCCACAAATTACTTAGGCTTTGTTACTCAGGATTTTAAAGTAGAGCTGGCTTCTCTGGGGATCTCTCCCACCACCCCTCGGCTTTCAGAATTTCTTAGATATTGGGTCGTTGTTTTCAGCAGGATGCCTATCAGATGTTAATGGGGAGAGTTTGAAGATGGGTCGTTATTTTCAGATTTTTTAGGTATGTGAAATAAGTACTGTGTGACTCTGAACTAAACATCATCAAATACATATGAGAATCTGGATTATTACAACCTGCCACCTTGCGCCCCATGGGAGAAGGAGCTAGCCTTTATCCAGAGGCACAGCAGCTAATGCCCTGGAATTCTTAACTCAATTAATTTAACCTTGAGCTCATGCTACACTGAAAACTATTTGTTCTGCAGCGTGTTCGAAATTTCCCTGCTGTATTCCTAAGTGATGAGAAGACTTTACGGTCTCAAGTGATTCTTTTCAAGCAGCAATGTATTGTTGAATAATGCAGTACTGCACGGTGTGTGTGTGCGCGCGCGCACACACACACACATGCATCCCACCCCCAGCTTGCTTGCACTGAAGTTAATAGGTTTCTGTGAAGGACTGCTTATTTCTCAGGCTGCAAAAACGTCGCATTACCTCAGCTGATTAATAAAATATTCTGTCCTGCTGGAGATACTGAGTGACAACTGGAATCGGGGTGCAAGTCCAATACTAAAAGGCTCAATGAGTAATGACTGGCTCTTTTCCCACCATCTAATAGCCATCTAGTTCTGCTTCCCAACACCTATTGCCCAGGGATTCCTTCATAAATTTAGCAATTCAGAATGCAATTCCTTTTTTGTGGTAGAACTTTCATACCTCTTTGGAGTACAGGGTTGGAAGACAGAGGGCAACGATCTCAGACGATCCAGAGACTATAATTTGCCACTTCTTGAATCACCTAGTATGTCCACTACATATAGCAGTAAGATGTGCCGTTGGTGTATCAGAAGAAGCCATCTTTTCTTAGCCGCATGGAAGGGAAATAAGTTAAAATCGAAACTCAGCTAATCGGTGGCCATACAGCCATCGGTATAGAAGGGCAATGACCTCGTCCATTTAAATCAAGCCATCCTGCTGTCATTAGCAAGCTAAAAGGTTCAGATATTTGGGGGGATTTAAAGGTAACACTTCGACGCTAATCGGCTTAAAGGGACTAGCATAACTGCATGGCCGGAAGAACAGATAAAAGAAACCAGAGTTCAGACTTGGCCTCAGCAAAAGGCTCTGAGCTGTATGGTGCAGAATTAACACACAAGTTGAAACGCTTTGATATTGAAGAGGACACAAGCACCAACCATGCCTGCCGATTTCAATGGCTATTGGAAAATGCTCAGCAATGACAACTTTGAGGAGTATTTGAAAGCACTAGGTAAGATTCTTTTATTTATTTATTTAATTTAATTTATTACACAACCATAGCTCCATACCTTCTGGGCTGAATCTGATTCTTCTGTAACATCAATCACATAAACATTGTCCCACTTCACTGTATATGGCTTTTGTATGAAAATATTTTGGTTTTACTGAGTTTCTTTATTAATATTGCCATGTCTATTTTTTTATTTAAAAATGTGCCTCGACAATAGGAAGAGCAAGAAATAAAATCCAGAAGTTACGTCTATATAAGCATAAATATACACTTCTGAATTATCAAAATTAATTATCCAGAAGTTATCATACATTGCTGGTGTTATAGCAAGCCTTTTACCTCAGGTAGTGTACAGTCTTAGAGACAGAACAGGAGTAGCAGAGCCTGAACTACAAATTTGATTAGGAAACTCATTGAACAGGTATATTATACCTATAGTAGCACTTCTTAAGTAATAATTTTCAGTTGAATGTATTTTTAAAGTTTTATAGCAACTTTCACACATCCACACTAGACATGGCTTATCCCAAAGAATCCCAGGAACTGTAGTTTGTTAAGGTTGTTGACAGTTGTTAAGAGAACCCCTCACAGAGCTGCAAACCCCAGCACCTATAGCAACCTATGGTTGCCGGGATTCTTTGTGGGAAGCCATATTTGTTGAAGTGGTATGACAGTGCCTTACAGTGTAGATATGAGCTTTAGGAAATGCAAAGGAAGAAGGGTTCTGGAAAGGCATATAGTCAAAGTAAATATAAACAAGATTATGCATAATAGTCGTCATACCATCAGGTGAAGCACATACACAGATGAGTTGATACGTAAATTCAACAAAATCCAAATTGCTTGGCCCAAATCTTAGGCAAAAGTATCTATATATGTTGACAAGATTATCATTTCATTCTGTGTGGGGATAAGTATTAAAACTTCCTCACTTTGTATTGAACTACAAGTTTATTTTTTTAAAGAAAATTTTCAGAGCTACTCCAGAGGTTTGATCTTTACAGAACTCTTTTCTGGTCTCTTTCTTTCCTTCAGATGTAAATATTGCTGTGAGAAAAATAGCTAATATGCTCAAACCGGACAAAGAGATCATTCAAGATGGCGATCACATGATCATTAAGACACTAAGCACTTTTAAAAACTACATCATGGATTTTGATATAGGGAAGGAATTTGAGGAGGATTTAACAGGGGTGGATGATCGCAAATGCATGGTAAGAATGAGAACAGCAACTGTTTCATGACAAACAAACAAAAAAAAGCTTCCAAACCCTGCGTCATGTTGGTCACAGACATTTTGCTGTGGTTTCCCCCCCCCCTCAGGAAACTGTTTGTATTTGACAGCTGTATTTAGGCAGAGTCTCAAGACTCAGTACAGACTTTACATCTGATAAATGTGTTGGTAGACATTAAGTCACTGTCCTTTATTCAGGCTGCAGTCCTCCCACACACATTTTCCTGGGAGCAAGTCCTATTGAACATAGTTGGAATTGTGTCCTGCATGCATAGGGTTGCGCTATGAAACTTGAATTACAGTCGTACCTCAGGTTACATACGCTTCAGGTTACAGACTCCGCTAACCCAGAAATAGTGCTTCAGGTTAAAAACTTTGCTTCAGGATGAGAACAGAAATCTTGCTCCGGCGGCACAGCAGCAGCAGGAGGCCCTATTAGCTAAAGCGATGCTTCAGGTTAAGAACAGTTTCAGGTTAAGTACGGACCTCCGGAATGAATTAAGTAATTAACCCGAGGTACCACTGTATATACATTTGATACTCAGTTGGGAGGTGAGTGTCTCTGTTTTGTTTTATAAAGTAAGTAGTTTCCATTCCTGTTTTGGTCAACACGTATGCTTTATTGCGTTTCTGTTAGACTTGCTTGTTGAAATGGTGCTGCTGGCACAGTATGATCCCACTTGTCTTGTGTCGAGTAGCAGAAGCAAGGCAATTGCTGCCTCTTGCCCACCTTTTGCTAACAATTCCGAATAAGCCCAGAGAGACAGCACATGCTTTAAACAGCTATTTATACCAGAAACAGAAGCATCATCCTTAACAGAAGTAGACAGCACCAAGAATTCTCCCCTGTGAGCTCTTAGCTTTTGACAAGGAAACAATACTGTGTGGCTCATAAGGAGGAATACCAATTAGCAGCACAGTCTCGCTAATACCAAGCTGCTTAGCTGAGTCAGAGCCTGACTGCTGTCCTTTCATTTACTCTGAGAGCAAGATACTGCTAAAAGAGTAAAGGTTCCCAAAGTGAAAATGCACGAGGTTATCTGATTGAGGGAGGCATTTTTAAAAAGAGAGACATTAAAACAGTAGACTCTCACATTCATAGTGAGGTGCTCCCTGCTCTAGCCTTGGAACAGCAGAAATTTCCTCTTTGTCCCATGACAATGGAAAAATGGAAGAATTTTGAAATACAAGGAAAGGGGGCATGTGTTGCCTGCCCAACTAGGTAGGTTTGGCTACCAAACAAGAATGCAAAGCACAGAGACAATGCTTGTTTCGGCAATAGCCCTCATCTGACATTTGGAAATAGGAACAGGTGAATCAATTCTGGTTTCTCTCAGTTTCCCTCTTTTCCCAGCTTCCGCTCTGGTCAATGTGTAAATTATGTTGTTGCTGCTCCTTCCACAGGCACAGGAACATTTTTTCATCTGAGGGTGGGTGCATTCAAATTAATGCCAGTCATGCATTGATATGGGGACATGTGTCTAGGATTTAAGGCTAGCCAATGTTCTTGAAAGCCCATTCACATGTTTGTAACTGATCATCTAAAGAGGGCTAATGTGATGCTGCAGTTCAGTCTGTTGGAGAATCTGGTTTTATCAGGGCTTTCAGCTCTACTTTTCAGATGCCCTAGGTTCTGCACATCTCTATCCCGCTGGTTAAAGTTGAAAGCTGGGAGCTCAAAATCCAGTAATGTTAAATGCAGCATAGATTTAGGTGAGAAAGCTTAGTTATTTCTTAAGGTATTGGCATGGGCATATTTGAGGAAACAGCATCCACTTAAAAAGAGTCAAGCAATGGCCAATTAGTGCAATTCTTCACTGGGTACATGCTCAGTCTTCATCTGACATGCCAGAAGGTGCAGATTCCGATGGTCATGCTTAAAGTGGCTTATCTGTACATTTTATACAAAGCAAAGAATGATTGACCACAAAAGCTTGTGTAGGAGGACTAGTCCACGCAGAAGTTAAAATCAAATGGCTTTTAATAATTTTTTTAATCAGTGGCTCCCAATTCGCTAAGTACTGTGGACCCCCTGTTTTTCAAAATCCAATCCATTGACCTCCCTACTTATGAACATTTTGACATCTCTGTGGTGGTTTTTGTTATGTGGATGGTGCCATGGACCCCCTAGGTGGGTTACACAGACTCCCAGTTGAGAACCACTGCTTTAAACAGTTTGAAAACCCAGATACAGAACCCACACACAATGTGACTAATGGAAGCAAGGGCTGAATATGATTTGCTATTGCTTATATTAGCTACATTGTGTCCCTTTGATTGGTAATCTAGAGTGCCTTAGATCCATTAGTGTTGAGCTGAGTTATTTTTGGCATGAATGGGATCTGAAACTAGCTACTTTCGTTTCATCCATTAAGCATTTCACAATGAAAGATGAATAAATTCTATAGTATTGGAATTATTTTCTGTAAAAGACAGCAGTTGCAGAGTTTTAAAGATTAGACAACCTATTATATCTTCTGCTTCCCAGTAAAATAAGGCACATATTGTCAAATAAACTGAAGGTAAAGCTAATGCTGTGTTTGCCAACCTTTTTCTAACTGTGCCCTCCAAGGACGTAGCCAGGGGGGCAGCTGCTCAAATCTGAGGATCTGCCCCACCCTAAAAAAGCCTGCCCCCTTAACAAAAACCCTGGCTATGCCCATGACCCCCCCCCCCAGCCTACTGGTAGAAAGGCAGCTATTTAAATATTTTGTTTGTAAACAGAACACGTTTTATTTATAATTTATACAAGACACAATTACATAAAATGATAGGAACATAATGAAATATTGTTGGAGCAGAAAAATGTAGAAACATGGAGCTGGAAGGGACCCCAAGGGTCAACTTTCTAGTGCAACGTAGGAAACTTAGCAAATGCATCCATGACAGATGGCCATCCAACCTCTGCTTAGAAACCTCCAAGGTAGGAGAATCCAGAATCTCCCAAGAGAGGTCCATCTTCCATGTGTTATAAAAAGTAAACAACACTTATTTGACTCCAGTTATTTGACACGGAGGGGAAAGCTACAGATAGCAGTCCAAAAGCTGCACAGGGAGTTCTGTATATATGGGGAAATTTTAAAAAGCAAGTGGTCCTCACTGATCTGGAGACCTTGTCATCTGGAAGAGCCCTGGCTGCCTAGATAAAACACTATAGCCCCACATGTCCGTACCTGGGAGTAAGGTCCACTGAACTCAATGCGGCTTTCTTGTGAGTAGGCAATTAGTAATTTACTAGATGCAAGTCAGCAGCAGCACCAGACGACCCCACTCAGCTAGGCTCTGGGGTGGATTTCACCCCACGCCTTGCAGAGCTGGGCCGACGCTGCTGACAGGCCTACGCCCCTTGGCAACACCCAAAGGCCCCGATCCTAATTGCCCCCTCCTTCTGGAAATAAACCAGGACTGCTTGAAGAAAATGCATGTGGCAAAAAGCAGTGTTAGGCCCTAGTTGGCCGTCCCCTTACCCACTTGTGATTGGCCAAGCAGATAGCCAGCCAGGACTTTAAAAAAAAAAAAATATGATTTTTCCCCCTTCTCACTTCCCTCTGCGGCCCCCCAGGCTTTCACAGTCCCCCCACCCACCCATTGATGCGACTTTCACCTGTGGACCCCTTGAAATATCCTGGGGGCCCCCAGGGGACCATATGGCCCTCATTTGGGAAACACTCAGCTAAGGAGAGGCAGGAATGGTCAGATTAAGGTGATTGGGAGCCCTGGCACAATTCCTGACCCACCCCATCCCCACTCAAAAGGGAGAAGTCACTTCCCATTGCCATGGGGTGCTGCTGCATACTGAGGAGGAAGAAGGCAGACTTAGAGGTCTGCTACACACTTCACACCTCCCCTTTTTGATAAGTGACAGGGACCCAGGAAAGCAACAGCTGCACCACCCACCTCTTTGGGAGTGTAAGGAGCTGCAAAGGGGTAGGGATTGAAAGTGCTGTGTGGGGTTAGGGGCTGAAGAAGAGTTAAGGGGTTGAAGGAGCTGTGAGGGGCTGGGAATTCCTTGGGGTTACGTGGGGTTGGCGAGCAAAGTGAGCAGGGGTGGAGCCCTTAGTAGTACAATAACCAGTGTCTGCATTTTAAGACTCTCTCAAACCATAGGTAAGCAGTGGGAGCAGCCTCTGCGCCTCCCCCAATCAGTGGCAGCTCTTGTGGAAAAGCAACGTTATTTTTCAGGGGACTGCACATTCCCTTAGAACAAAGATTAAAGGTATTTTGTTAAGCATTAGAAGTAATGTACGCCACAGGAACAAAATCAAGTTGTCTTCTGTGAGATTTAATGCCCATGTTTTCTGGGGATACAGTTGCTTCACATCACCAAAGTACAGCTTCCTGCCAAATTGGAACTGACTAACCCGGTCTTTCCTTTGATACAGCTGCTAAAATAGGTTGTCACTTAATTTTGTTCATTACTTTCTTTTTCTCTCTGAACGGTTGAAACCCAAGCTGTTTCCATCCTTGACTTGATGAACAGAGGTCCTAGGCCTGCAGCTCTGCCACAAGGGAGGTAGTTAAGGAATCACTTGAGGAAATGTACTGAGAGTCACATATAAAATCAAGAGTCCTGGCTCAAAAGCAGAAGTAGCACTTTACTTGGACTTTGGTGCATAACCTTTGTGCTCAGTTTAGTCCTCCTTAATGTAGACCCACAACACATACAGACATTTTCATTTTGAAAGGGCGCTGAGCTTATACCATCACCCCTCCTAGTTCCAGACTTGGTTAATTTCCTATTTGCAGTCTGCATAGATGGATGCCAATTCCCCAAGGTATCTCCTTGAACTACACAGTTGCCAAACATGTCCAGTGCTGACAAGGAGTGAAGGACATGAGGCAGGAGTTGATAATGCAGATGAGTTGCACACAGGTGAGCTGCAAGCAAGCTGCTGGCCAGCTCTGTGGAGGCTCCTTTTATTGACACAATATGCAAACCCAGGCAGATACATTTTGGGCTGTGACCTTTACACATATTCCAGTCCCGAGATCGTGGGGTGGTACAAAGTTATTTTTGCACCTGTTTCCACCGCGTCAATTTCCCCCTGCACAATGTATGATGAAAGAGACAAAGGTCTCAGAGACAAAGGTCACAGACAGGACACGGCAGACTACTGAGACCACAAAAGGTTAGACAGAGGGCAAGATGTTCAGACAGTTGTGGCTTTAGCTGTGAGGGGGAGTGTGCTCCGCACCCCAAGGTCACGCATGCAGACAGCTGAGGCTGCCCGCGGGTGGGAATGTGCTCCACAACCCAGCGATCATTCCTACTCTGACACACACAGTCATCTCCTGTGCAGTTTCAAAAAGCCAAGGGATCCTCAGAGCTGTTTTCTGCTAATGCAACAGCTCATACCTGCTAATATTTAAAAGTATGGAAGCAAGTAGTTTGGGTAGTGGCCTCACTGATACACACCCAACTCTCTCTCTCCCTCTTGCAGTGTAGCATAATAGTGTGACAAAATTATAATATTACTACATGTCACTTTGCTGCTTGGATCCTATGCAGATAGCATTTATCACCATGCTTTCTGAAATACAAGGTTGGGGCCATAGTAAGTAAACACGGCTGTAGCAAACAAGAAACAGTGGTGATTGTACCAGGTGCAGGTAATTCTGTGAAAATATACCACTAGCTCAAAACAGGAATTATTAGCAAGACTACAATCTACTGGGATTTAGGATCTAGTCACATGACTATGAAGGCACAGGGTGACCATAGAAAAAGCCTGTATATTATGCCTCTTAGTCCATGGATATAATGCTGTGCCTAGGTTTTGATTCATCATGCGTGTTGAATCTTTTGCTGTGATATTGCCCATGGTGGATACAACCAGTTTGCTGTGAGTTGAAAGCACTACATGCAGCCTTTTCAGTCACTTACCATGACCACCACAGATCCACTGGTAGTGTGGCTAGGCCCTTAAGGAGGACAATATTATCCAGCCATTTCCTTAGACAGGAAAGCAATAACATGGCTCCTAATTGCTTCCAGAATCAGAAATCAGGTTTGGGAAAGATGAATTAGAAGAAAAAAATGCAACTACTGTGCAGAACCAGCATGAAGCAAGTATAGCAACAGCATGCAGGGGAAGATATGGGTTAGTAACTAGCCCAACATTTTTTAAAAAAAAGTCAATTAAATGTCTGGTCTTTTTGAACATGAAATGTCATTTTGAAAATGCACATGACAAAAAGAGAGAGAAATACCACAATACAACTTGATCACTAATAGAGGGAGCATAGGGAAAATGAAATGCCAGTTACAGTCCTTAGTGTATCATGGCTGACTTCGTGAGACCATTAGAATAAAACAGCATGAAGTGAGGCTCATTAACACTTAAGAGAATTTGGATATGAAGGTTGTCCAACTGAATCATGGGACTAAAAAATTCATCTTTATTTTGTTTGGAGGGTGGTCAGAAGCTTGAAGGGTTTGCACATAGGAGGAACATGCCATCGTGCCATTACGTTATTATTATTATTTTAAGTGGAAATCCTTGGTTGCTGTGCTTGCTGAGTAAGTTTGGTTGCTTCCAGATGACCTGTTTATGGAGCATCCATCCTGATTTGTTTGTCTAACCCCCCTGCAAGCTTTGTGCAATCTTGGCTCTTTATCGGGCATTCATTCTGATTTATTTCTGTGGAGGTTATACGATGTTGTATCAAGCAAATTGTCATTCCATACTTTCCAGTGCATTTCCCTATCATTTTCCTAATTGCAAGTAGTCCGATCTGGGGGCGGGGCAGATTTGTTACATAAGAGCACCAAATCATCTTTAATTACACAATTTGAGATTGATTGTTGCTATTTTGGGATGAGATTCATTTGGAAAACACCCTTAGTTCATACTCATGCCCTCTTAGATTTTATTGCTTTTTGCTGCTCCAGAGGGTAGGACGTGAGCCAATGGATTCAAGTTAGAAGAAAGGAGATTCTGACTAAACATCAGGAATAACTTTCTGATGGTAACAGGCTGTTTGACAGTGGAATGGACTCCCATGATATGTGGTGGATGTTTTTAAGCAGAGGTTGGATAGCCATCAGCCATGGATGCTTTAGTTGTGATTCCTGTATTGCAGAGGATTGATCTAGATGACCCTTGGGGTCCCTTCCAACTATACAAATCTATGATTCTATTATTCTGTTGATCTACTGTACTTGAAAAGATTTGTTATAGTCAACCTTTTTTCTTTTTTTGGGCCACATTCCCTCAGGAATAATCTGATGAGGGCTGCATGTTGGTGATTGGCAGAGCCAGTAGCTAGTTATGGGTGGAGTTGGAAACAAATGATCTGGATTAACACATCTGGAAGGCCACCCTGCCTCCATTTTTACCATGGCTATTTCAGATTAAATTCCCCCTTTTATGCAGGTCTAATCAGAAATCAACCCCACTGGGACTGATGGGGTTATTCTCAATTAAATATAGAGGTGTTTTTTTAAAAAAAGAAGTACAACAGATACTGCTACTTTTCTGGAAAACAAGTGAAAGTAATTTATTTCTGACCATAATGCACTATACACAGAGCAAGAGCGCACAGAAGCCTTCCAATTCGTCTTCGGGCAACTATGCAGGAGGGCCTTCTTTTTCCAAGCCAAGTATGTTTTCAAAAAGCCATTTATTTTGTGAAATACAATACCGCCCATTCCAGTTATTTTGAAACCACATAGAAAGGGTGGGAGGAGGTACTTCTAACAGCAGTGGTGTGAAATAAAGTGTAAATTAACAGGAGGGAAGGAACCTGGATGGGGTGGAAGAACAGGGCAGCTTCAGTAGTAGTCAGTGGGTGCATAAAATGAGATTGGAGGCTGAAGGAAACCCACCTGTGCTATATATAGTTGCTTAAGGGGATACTGATGCATGCAGGGTTAGCTTGTGTGCTAATGTGGAGAAATTTCCCATAGCCATCAGCAACCATGTCTCAGCCATCCGCACACTGTTAGACATTGCCACCAATGGTGTGGAGGAAGCATGAACCATGAACCTGGCTTCTAACTGATAGGAAGGATTGATTGACCAGTTAAACCAAGCAATTTTAATTCCCAATTACCTCTTCAAGTGAACATGTTTTTTATCGTTCAGTAAAATGCCCCATATGTGTCATCTGAGTTAAGGGCTAGTGCTTGCTTACTTGAATGCTTCCCTCCTTCTTCAAGAGGAATGCCTTTGGGTTAAAATACGGTTTAAAATTCTAATTTCTTTTAAGAATAAATTCATCTCTTAATGGAGTAATGCTTTTAAGTTGAATGAAAAAGAAAGTTTACAACGGTGGTGATGATGGTTGGTGTGTATCCAGTCACCCGACATCAACTTTACCCATTAAAATGGTGTCTGCAGGCTCTTAAGATACGAGAGTAGTCACGGAGGATCAATATAAATATGTTAACACGATGGTACAGTACAAGCACCTAAAACCCTGGCTCAGTCTCTTGGCATTTGATCAGCAGTGCTGTTACACAAACCCTAATGCCAGTCAAAAGACATGCTTTTTTTCTCGTGAAAGCTGGACAAGCTGCTTACGGAAAGTGAGAGGTAACAGCAGATCATGCAAGGTAAGCAATGCAATCACTGCAACAGCTTCCATGTTCAGCTACCCACCTGTTTTTCTTTTTCTGTGCCCTCACCTGCATCCCTCGTAGACTTCTTTATGAATTCCATGGGCCTGGGATCAAAACCGCAGCCTGATGTGATGTTGCATAAAGCAAGAAGCTTATTACAAGTATGTAGCCACAGCCTTGCGCACGGTGTTACAGCATTGAGTAAGAGGAATTAGTCATTGCTAATCTGTTCTACATCAGCAAGCATAACTAAATGCTCTTTCTGTCTTGGAAGAAGCAAGTCCCATTCTAGAGAAGAGTACTGCTCTTGTTTATTTTCTTTCAGAGGGGACCACCTCAGTAAGGAGTTCATAGGTTATAGACCCCATGTGGATGTCACTGAAAACTGCTTCCCAGTGGACACCATTTACCAATATAAAGCCACTTTTGCCTGAAGAGCTCCAAGCTAGAGTTTGCAACCTTGAGGATCTTGTAGGGCTGGTGAGGGGGCCCATCTGTGTGACTGGAACAATATATATAATCAGCTGGCTTTAGTAAACTCAGAACGGGAGCTGTTGTGTTAGAGTTAGCCTTTACAGTGGTACCTCGGGTTAAGTACTTAATTCGTTCCGGAGGTCCGTACTTAACCTGAAACTGTTCTTAACCTGATGCACCACTTTAGCTAATGGGGTCTCCCGCTGCTGCTGCGCCGCCAGAGTACAATTTCTGTTCTCATCCTGAAGCAAAGTTCTTAACCCGAGGTACTATTTCTGGGTTAGCAGAGCCTGTAACCTGAAGCGTATGTAACCCGAGGTACCACTGTATTGTTCAATTTATTAAGATGTAAGCATGGTTGTCAGCCACTGAAACCTCATGGATTTGAAAGAGGATTAGATAACAGCATGGAGGTAAAGGCTACTACTTGTGGTGGCCATGCTCTGCCTCCACGCTCAAAGGCGGTGATGATTCTGAATACTAGTTGCTGGAAACTGCAGGAGAGAAGAGTGCTCTTATGCTCAAATCCTACTTGTGGGTTTCGCAAAGGCATCTGGTTGGCCACTGTGAGAACAGGATGCTAGACTAGATGGGTCGTTGGCCTGATCCAACAGATCTTCACGAGTCCCGCTCCGCCACCTGTTTTAGTATCCTGACTAACGGTAAAGGGACCCCTGACCATTAGGTCCAGTCGTGGCCGACTCTGGGGTTGTGGCGCTCATTTTGCTTTATTGGCCGAGGGAGCCGGCGCACAGCTTCCAGGTCATGTGGCCAGCATGACTAAGCCACTTCTGGCAAACCAGAGCAATGCACGGAAACGCCATTTACCTTCCTGCCAGAGCGGTACCTATTTATCTACTTGCACTTTGACGTGCTTTCGAACTGCTAGGTTGGCAGGAGCAGGGATCGAGCAACGGGAGCTCACCCCATCACGGGGATTCGAACCACCAACCTTCTGATCAGCAAGTCCTAGGCTCTGTGGTTTAACCGACAGCACCACCCGCGTCCCTAGTATCCTGACTATGTTAAGGTTATTTCTAAGTGACTGCAACAATAAACATAGGACTTAAATGTACAGTTTGAAAATGCCCACCCAGTATCTTACTAGCACAGTATTGTATAGCAGAATCTGGTGAATGAAAGAGCCTGGAGTTAGACTAGGCAAAGCAATGGCTTTGGTTGATGGAAAACAGAAGTCTTTATTGAAGCTGAAAATGACTATCATGCTGAAAATGCTTTTCCTCTATCCATTAAGAACAATATCCTGTTACAGCAGTTCATCTAATCAGCACTGGAATAATCTGCATAAATGATAGAATCTCCTCTGGAAGTTTTTAAAGAAATCATTAGGTAGGCCAAAATGTCTCTGGCAGGTGCCTTACCAATAGACTTGGGTGTGAATCACATTTTCCTCTGGGTCTCCTGCAACTTAATTCTGTGGCTTTGAGGGTTGGGGTTTTTTAAAAAAACACACCACACCTTTATGTCCATTTACACAAAACCAGATTTTTTTTTGTTTTACTTGTCTACCAGCTTTATATGGGCAAACTTATTTCCAAAAAGGAGTAAAGCTCGTATTTTCTTCTATCAGTGTTGTGAATATTGGTTTCTTATAAAAGTAAGTGGAAATGGGGTATGAACTTTTTAATGCACAAGTTCCATACTCCTTATTGCTGAAGGCAAAATCCACTAAGCCTGAGACAAGAAGGCATTTGAGGAATGACTTTCCTTCTCCTTGTTCCTCTCCACCCTGCCACCTTGCCCCTCTAAGCCAGTCAGCCTCCTTCTGTATGGCAATGAGATTGTGATCATGATGTCACAGATGTCAGGAAACCTGTTCCTTACCCTTCATGGTGAAGCAATAGCTGTTTAAAGTTCTGATGCCCTCAGCAATTCCTGGTGTCTGCTAAAATAATAATGAACAAAACTTTGGTACTGTTCTAGTTCAGAGCTTCTCATTTAAACTCCTTTAGTGTCTTGACGCATTTTCTTAACTTACTTTGCCTCTTATTTTTAATCATTAGAAGCTAGCTATTCAGGATGGGGCTATGTCAGGCAGGGAAATAAAAACCTGTTTCCAAGGATGGGGCTGTTGTTTTGGTCTATGAGCATGGACAGTTGCCTCCATTACTGCATCCCTGAAGTCAGAATTTACCTCAGGAAGGCTGCTGTACTTTGCTGTGTCTACAAGCACAGGCACAAGGCCTGAATTCTCTGGCCTGGAGTTACAAGAGCATATCCCGATCCTGTTTTGTACTTGAAAAGAGCTCTGGGGGACCTGAACACATAATCCTGGGAAATGTTATATGCTAGATTCCAGAATGAGGACAAGAGGTGACTGATTTGAGCCACAAATACTCTCCTGGTTTATACAGTGAAGGATGGTGTAGAAATATAAAACTGAGTTGAAGAGCAGCTCTTCCCCTGAATTGATGAGGCCTCTGGGCTTAATGCCTATGGTGGTGTGTCAACTAAAAATGAGACCCAAAGCTGTTTTGGCTTGTACGGTGACTGGATTAATTTAATCTTGAATCGCTGAAAACTGTGAGAAGAGAATAAATTGCTTGAAAATTTGGTACACAAAGCTGTTGCTTCCTTCCTGCCTTTAATGAGAAGTGGATGGATTTTAAATATGTATAAATAATAATGCCATTTTTGTATAGGCACTAATACATGTGCTGGGTAAATCATGAACCATTACAAATAAATTAAATGACAATGGGCTTAAAAATTGATCCCTGCCCTTGCTCACACCAGCTAAGCACTATAATCTGGCTCTTTATTCCTCTCAAGGCTGCACAGTAAGCAATCCATGTTTTAAAAAATGCCTCAACTCTTTCATTACAATAAGGAAAAGCAATTTATGCAAAGGATAAAGAGTAAAGGAAAACGGCATTCAATAGAATGGCTAATTTGAGACGCACATGAACTGCTCAGCCTAGCGTACAATTTTATATGATGCATTTGTCTTATAATTAATTATCTGCTTCACCATACAATGGGATTTCTGCCTTCCCACCCACCCCTGGGTATCGATCCTTTATCAATGGCTGAAGTTTAGCTTCTCCACTTCTTTCTTCCCTCATTTAAAGAACAAGTTATTTTCAAGCTCATAGCTGTGACTTGATGTGGCAACAATTTAGCCTTGTTTCCCAAGCTTATTGGAAAATCCAGCAAGCAGATATATTGCTGGCAATCCTAGCTGGCAGAATTAGCGCGCATAAAGTGTTATGTGCCTTCCCTATCTGGACCCCTCCTTATATGCAGTTTGCAAACCCGTGCAGGAAGTGCTTACAGAGCAACTTGTGTAAATAGGGTGCCATGTGGCATATCCCCCACACTTGTGTTTTCCAAGTGGCTGCATTTAATAGACCTATTAAAGTTGTGCAGAAAGTTTTGGCAATCCGTAGGGAGTACAGAAGTATTTCTGGGTGCTAGAATTTATGCCACAGCATCTAATGTGATAAAGCAACACATACCCACCAGACTTCTACTACAGGTATAATTAGTGGGTTATAGAGCAGCGTGCCTGTGATGATGGTGAAAAGATAAAAAAAGAGAGGGAAAATTAACTTAGAACCATAGATGTCCCAAGGGTCATCTAGTCCAACCCCTTGCAATACAGGAATATGCAGGTGGCCTGTATAGGAATTAAACCTGCGAACTTGGCTACTTTATGGCTAAGTAAAGGGTGTGAACACAAGGAATTCTACCAGTGCAAAATAGCCTGGGCACAAGGAACAGAAAACCATAAAATTGGCCATATGGGGATTTTTAAATAAAAAAATGTTGTTTCCTTTCAATGCTCACAGTTCTCCTTTCCCTTGGAGATTCACCAGAGTCTGAGCCTGAACATTACCCAAAAGTGCTGCAATACATTCATATTTGCCTGACTTTTAACAGCCATGAGGGTGTTTTAATTCTGACGTTGCATTTTCGTATTTTGTTTTATCGCTGTTACTTTCTCTGACCCTTCAAAGATCGAGGATGTTATTAAATTAAGGCAAATCAATAGCTGTGTTGAAAGAATGCAATCTCCGATGTCAAGCTTTACTGTTGACTTGATTTTTATTTATTTTGTTTGCCATAAACAGCAGTGAGGATGTTACCTCAAGAACTGCTTGGGGGGGCATGAGTCATTGACATTATTGTACAATTTGCTCTGGAAACACTTTTTGACTGTTTAAGACCTGTGCCATCACTTTTTCAGAGCCTTTAGATTTGCCTCAGGGTACAAATGCTAAATAAGGCTCAGGGAGGTAGGGAAAAAAATGGACCATAATGTTAGAAAATAGAACATATGAAGAAATTGCTTTTCTTACCAACTCAACTCAGTCGTATTACAGTTCAGGTCATCCAATCCTAAGGCTGTATTTTGGAGAACTCATGAGGGCAGCCGCACTTGAGCAATTATGAACATAACCGTTTGGTTATGTTTGCATTTTTGTTGAATTGGAGACTGAATTTCCTCTACAGTTTCCATGCACATTTGAAAGCAAGTACACTGTTGCTGGAAGATAAAATGCACCCATTTATTCCATTCCATCAAGACAAATCTTCATTACTGAAAGCAACATCTCTTTATGGAATTCATAGATTAAGGGTCTAAAAGAGGCTACAGATAAGCAGAAATTTCTCAGAATATTTTGTTTTTCTGACATCTGATATTTTACTTTTTTTCTCAGAAGGTTGCCTTGTAGAATTTTCTCTCCATATTTGTCAACGTTTTTATTGTTTAGCAGTTTCTGTCATTCACCACCATCACCCGCTTAGTGTTGTAGTTGACTCGGAACATTGTTTTGCATTAGGAAGTGGTTGACTGTTATTAAGAGCAAATGGGGATATGTTAAAAAGTAGAATTAACTGTTTCAAATGGATATCTTCCAACACTGGAGTGAGGGAAATTGGGACAGGGCCTCAACGGAGGTTGCATCCCCTCTCACTCATGCTTTCCCACTTGGCTCCCTCCCTCACACCTTCACCCGCCACAGCAAGCCAATGTACTTCTGGAAGCCGACAACACTTCTGGAGGTACATCAGTGGAAAGCCACAGCGGAAGGAGGAAGAGGGGTAACATGCAGGGCAAGGTAAGCTTTACTTCCATTTCTTGGTCCCACACTCTGGTGTGAGTCAACTGATTTGCACCCCGGCATGGGACAAAAAAAAAGTGCATCTTTGAGCATGGGAGCCAAAATGGGACATCCAGGATTGGGATCAGAAGCCAGAGCAGTTACACAGTATGAAAATGGTGATGTTACAGCATTTAAACTCCTAACAATTGTGAATTGTGCAAAACTGTAAACTTGTGAGGAGAATTTTTGTAGGCCTGCTCACAGCATATAAAACTAAGAAATCCATCACAAACTTAAATTTTTGTAAAATTTATCTTTTACTAAACCTAAACTCTTTCTCAGATATCAAGATGTGTGCTTAAGGAAAGTAGGCGATACGTGAATGGCATATAAACGAACCTAAACAAAAAGTAATTACTGTTCCATAAGGTAACTTGCCCCTGAGATCAAGGATTTTAAGCAAGCTGATTTTGTACCAGCTTGTGAGACTTCCCTTGCTATAATTTCACCAAGAGATATTACAGGTATGTCAAGAAAAACGGAATCCTCTTATCTAGCTGTGAAAAGGTAGCATGGCAATTGACATTTAGACAGAGTTTAATGACTACAGGAAGGCCAGAGGAAAGTAGCAATTGTTGTTGTTGAAATTTGTATATCTTCCTTCATCTGAAGATAACAGGGTGGCTCACAACATAAAAATACAAAATGAGAATACGTAATAAGATAAACCAATAACTTCCCTGCATAAGCATATTTAAAATGTCATAGGATGTTCAGGTTATAGAGAAACTTTTTCACCTGGCTCCTAAAAATATGTAATGAAGGTTCCAGGCAAGCCTCTCTGGGGAGAACATTCCACAAATGGGGAGCCACTTCAGAAAAGGACCATTCTGGGGTGAGAGCAGGAGGCGGAGGCGCCAGCAACGGAGAGATGAGCGGAGCAGCAGAGAGCCCGAGAGCCCTGATGAGGCAGGAGAAAGGCAGAGTCTGTGGCTGCGGGAGGCGTGTTCAGAACTGCAGAGCTCAGAATTCTGGGATTCAAGCCTCGGAGCCATCTTAAAATCCCTCCCCAAACACCCAGCAGCAGGGAAGGGGGCAACCAGGCCTTCCATGGAGAAGGCCCTCTCTGCCTTCGAGAAGCTGAAGCTCACACCACCAGCTGAGTCAGTTCTTGAGCCCAGCTCCTGGCTGCTGGAGGAGCCCAGCCGCAGCAGAGCCCAGGGCTTGCAGCGCATGTGTTATGGCATTGGGAACTTCTCCTCTTGCGTCCAAGCGCGATACCAGCTGGCCTTCCTCCTTCTGCTGCTCGAGGAGGGGAAACACTGCATCCACAATCTTCTACATGGTCCACTGCGGGAAAGCTCTCTATAACAACTTGCTCTGGAGCAACTGGTCATCACAGGGGACAGCTTCAAGGGCATTAAAGACAGGGTGCTGAGCAGGATATTCCAAAAGGACTACAGTTACATTGCAAAGTTTTCAATAGCAACAGATGAAGAAGCCCTTCCTTCTCACCCTCAGTACTTGGACATATTTAACGACACTGTCCACTGCTTTCCGCTGGAAAAACTGAGGGACCTTCCCCCAGAGATCTGGAAGCTCCAGGAGGAGCCAGTTTACCCAGAAGAGGATCAGCCAGAGATCATCAGAAACAAGAAATGAAATTGTTCCCATTCCAGAGGCTATGGATTGGAGGTGCAGGTCTGGGTTTGGGTTTCCTTCTTTGAAGAGGGGCTTGAGTTGCTTCTGGTGTTGCAAAGAAGTTCACGTTAATGTCAAGTTATTTACCCTCCTCCCCGCAAAACAGAAGACTAGCCACACTGTCTATTTGTGTGTTGCTCTATGGCATCTCCATGGGACAAACGAGACACGCAAAGCATGCACAAGATGCCAAAGCTCTCCTTGTGTCTCTCTCACTTGCTCACTGAGCAGCAGAGCTTTGGAGGATCAATGGGGCAAACCCAAGCATCTGCTTCTGGGTTTCACCACCATCTCTGTTCAACTCTGGTCTGGTACCTTCTATGAGAGTTCCCTCATGGGATGGGATGGAAAAGGGGGCAGAGATCTGGTGGTGCTGGGCAAGCTGCCCAGTAGGACTGGGCTCCCTCATTAAGGGGGAGAGCCATTCATACTCCCAGCTGCTGCTTAATGCAGCAACTTCTCAGAAAACCAAACTTCTCCACAAATCTTGTATTTCCAATAATGTTTTTAATTAAAAGCAACACACATTGAAAGAATGAAAGCAAAAAGAAAGAAAGAAAGAAAGAAAGAAAAGAAAAGAAAAAAAGGAAGTTCCAGAACTCTTGTGGAGAAATGGTGTCTTCTGAGATATTGTGAAGAAGGGCCTCAGATCATGATTGCAGGGTCTGGGTTGGTTCATATGGGGAGATGCACCCCAATAAGTAAATCATACAGTAATCATTCTTAGGTTCCCACTTATGCATATCCAGCTTGGCTAGAGATGATGGTAGTGAATAATGTCATTGTAGTGAACCATCTCAATCATAGAAACATGATAAACCTTTTGATGTCTCTTGGACCCATTACATATTGTAATAGGAGGGCAAACCTAGGAAAGTAGTTTTAGCGAGGTGCAGGATTTTGCATCAAACAGTCCAGAAATGGAACACAAACATTGACAATTGTACATGAAATCGGATAAACAGATTGGCTTCATTATGAAATCAAGATGCTATTAGGGGATGTTGCTAAGAAGAAACGCTCAAAAAGATACAGCACTTCCCTATGGGAAGGGAAACCTATAACAGGTTTTTGATAGAAGCTTGGATGTTACAAAATGAAACCTGCTAAGGGGAGTAGCCTTTTGTTACTTAGGAAGACATACTGTTTTGTTCCATATTGTTGTCTTTCAGCCAGAAGTGCAATATTTTAAGCAGTCAAATAGATCAGGTGTGGTACTTAACCTGCGAGTACGGCATTGATGCTCTATAAATAAATGTTTCCAAAGCTCTTGCATGTAGATCATAAGGCAAAAATACATTGTTTTCTGATAAAGCAATTATTTTGATGAATACTTCGGTAAGCTGCAGACATCCATATTCCCGACCTTAAGTCAATATGGCTTTAGCTTACTGGCCTACTCAAATTGCACTAAGGGGAATACACATGATCTAGACAGCAGCTTTGTTTTGTTTTTACTAATTGCTGAAATTAAAAGTTAACCTGCATTGAAAGCAATATCATAACTGCTGTAATTTGCATTTATTGTGGATTCTAATTTGCATGGAGCTGGTGCTTTCAAGCATACATAAGCTGGTGACAATTTACTTACTGTCAGGAGCCCGGAGGAGACAGCCATGCAGTGGGCAGTAAAAGCATCTATGCCTACAAAGGAGTTCTATAAAGGAGTCACAGATTCCACTAATTATATTCCTATTAAATTGACAGAAAAGCAAGTAAAACAAATTGCTACCATTAAAATAAAAAGGGGGGGGAATGAGTTATACTCTGTGTTTGGAGGGAAGTTCATCATTAGTATTATATGTCACAATTCTCATTGATACCACACTGGGCAAGTAGCTGAGTTACATATATACATTGTACTTCAGTCATATTGTATATAAATTGCCAACAGATATTTATGTGTTTTTACATCTCTGCCCTATAGGTACTAGTGGTAACTTGGAAAAGTTAAAGAAAGACCCCTTTGGCCACCTTGTTAAGTTTACAAGATAAATGCAACACACACAAACACTCATGTTTTGGGTGGTGCGTTTTTTTGTGGGGGGGGGGGCAAAGTTCTATTATTCCCCATAAAAGATGCAGGAAAAATATCTCTTTCACAGGGAGCAAAGATCTTTTTGAAATACCCCAAGGGAGACAGCACAGCACTAGCCTAGCAATCTGCTCAGCAAATTGGAACTGCATGCTTTATGCAGTAGTTCATCAAATTTGTATCTTCTCATAAGCCTTGTCTTGGTTGTTTATTGATTGATAGCATGGTACACCCCTCCTTTCATCAAGAAGATGGCCTCCAGTCATTTCCAGTATATAAAAATGCAACTCAACAAATGAATAGGCAGATAAAACACTATGATCAGCGAGCAAATTCCCAGTTTTAAAAAACAACAAATAAATGTGAAGTCAGCCCTGTTGCATTTAATGGCTCAAGTAAGGGTGCATGGAAATACAGCAAGGATGTGGAATCTCCACCGTCAAATTGAGCTTGTGAGGCTATTTGCCCCCAAACAATGCCCCCTACCATATATCTGACAGCATACATCTGACATCAGGTCGGCTGGATTGGCTGCAGAACCAATTTCCCTCTTTGTAAGCCCTGTGTAGGGCTTTGAAGTCCTGTCTATTGTCACCAGACATCAGATGATTCACAAGTAGGTAGCCCAACTCACCTGTCTAATTTGGCCCATGAGGGGTAGGGAAGGGAAGGATCCAATGCATTGGCCAAATCAGATTCCCACCCCTGAATTACAGCCTAAAAAAGAAATCAGCTTAAAAGAACAGAGTAGATTTCATCTGGCACCTTAAAAAAAATGGCAAAGAAGGCACCAAGTGAACATGTCTGGGAAGTCTGTGATTTTAGGTGCCACCAAGGATCCCCAGATCCTACACTGTTTAAGGCTTTAAAGATCAAATCATGTATGGCATGTATACTATAAAGAGCCCCCCCCTCCATATCTGCAGCAGGCTGCAAAATGTGTCTGAAAAAGTGTTTTGAAGCATTCTGCTTTTTTATCCAATTACATGTTTTTTCAAACCTATTCTTCATTCAGACTGTCATGTTTCCAAAGGCTTTTAAAAGAGTCACCATGCTACAGTTCACCGATGAACCCAAACAATATAAAAGGGAGGAATGTCTCAGAATGCTGATATGCCAAAAAAAGGAGGCAGAAAATTATTATTGTGAGCCTTTTTTCGTTTACACGGTCTGTATCTAGGTCCTTGATCATGCCTGGACTAGCTAATGTGGTCTTTCTAGCCCATGTGCATCTTTTAGCATCCTCATGATAGAATTATAGACCTTGTCACACGCAGCCCACAAGCCGTTGAGACAAACAGGCATGCCGTAAAATTGATTTGTTCCTCCACAATAGTGAGATACAAGTGGACTTTCTTTTTCTTCCCTGTAGTGAGTGCCAAAGCAATATGGGCTGCAGACAATCCACTACAATCCATTCCTATCCTGCTCATAACTTGCAATGATTTGGCATTTAGTTGAAATTCAAGAAGTGGGGAAAGCAAGGAAATGTGCTAACAGATCGCACAGCATACGCAGCCTGTCCTTAGCATTTCCAACATTGCCTCTCGATGCATGTATTTTGAGGAAATGGTTGTAAGAAAACTTGGCATAAAATGGATACTTTTGTGTGCATGCATAGGCACATGTCAAACTTCAGAATGATCACATTCATTCATTTTACCCCACCCATCTGCCCGGATTGTCCCAGCCACTCTGGGCTGCTTCCAACAAAATACAGCATCAAACATTAAAAACTTCCTGAACTATCCTTCATCCGAGGATCACAGGGTGGTTTTCAATATAAAAACACAAAAATGCTTATTTCTGACCAGTCTGATCTTAAAAAAGAACTGTCTGTGTCCTTTTCCCGGTTACTTTTCTGCATGCTGTTTTAAAATGGAAGGCGAGATATGTAACAGCATGCACGACTCTCTGTCAAAACCAATGTTAGCTTTAACGGAAGTCAATCAAGCACAAACGGTCCTACACCATCAAATTCTTAGTTTAGTCACATTAGTTAAGTTAAGCTGATTAAGTACTTGGAAAGGGCATACTATTTCACAGTACCCTAACATTATGTATTATGTGGGCATGGCCGGCAGTTCCTGGTCATAACTTTCTTTTGTTAGGGGGATTTCTAGCTAATACCTCAAGATGTGTGGCTGATTTTTCTTCAACTCTGCATGAAAACCCATATGCACATTTCTCTTGTTATGCAAGATCTGTATAAAAGGAAGCAGACTGGGCTAAGCTAGACTGAAATTCTCCTACAGGTTATGGGGGCTGTATTTCTTTGGAATACATTCAGAGAATGTGCAAGAAATGTACAGAACCAGGCTATAAAACAGTTAAAATGCACGCTTCAAGTCACAGCATGTTTTCCCACTGGTTTGTGTGGCACCACCACCATGTTAATGTGATGGGATGTAAGGGGAACAGCTTCCAGGTACCCTGCTGCAGAACTTGATACATCAGTAGGAATATCTTGAATCTAGCATGGTAGCAAATTGGCAGGCAGTGCACTCCTTTCAATGGAGATGTTGGTGAGAGGTTGCCCCAAACAGCAACCATTCAGTAATGTTTTGCGCTACCTGCAGCTTTCGGGCAAAATTCAAGGGAAGCCCTATGTAAAGGGCATTGCAGTAGTCAAAGCAAATGTGAAACAGAAACTGACAGATTCCTTCACCTCTAGCTGCAAGCATCTGTGAGGGAAGGAATGCCTCTCTGTGGAGAACTGATGCAGGGGCGGGGAAATTGCTGCTTGTGGAAGTGCTGTGTGTCTTAATCTATGCTCAGGTTTATATTTTCAAATAAACCTAAATGTTATACGCATACACAAAACACACCATAGGTCTCTGGTAATGTCTCCTTCCAAATTTGTTTGTTAGCTTTGTATCGTACCAAATGGTGCTCAAGGTGGCTAGCAGCAGTAAGAAAGAAGTTAAAGACAATAGAATTGTCAAAAACAGTACAACAAGAGGGATAAAATACATCAACTGAAATGTTTTTAAAAGACAACAAATTAACCACCTGCAGCATATTTACAGTGGACAAAGTAAGACGAAGGAGCCCTGGAACCCTGGACAACCTCACCAAGTAGTTTCATATAGATGCTAAATAGCATGGGGAGCAAGATGGAGCCATGAGGGACAATGACCAAGGAATCTAACAGGACTTTCCCCCATCACCACCTTCTGGAGGCACCCATCCAAGAATGACTGAGACCACTGTATAATGGTGCCTCCAAGCGCCAAGCAACTAGCCAGTCCAAAAGGATACCCACACTGATGGTCCTGAAAGCCTCCAAGATGTAGTTTTCATCATAGATGAACCAACACAACAACAGCTGTCTTAATTTCATAAACAGGCCTGAATCCAAATGGAAATGGATCTAAAATAATCCTTTTTATCCAGGAACATCTGAGCTGAGATACCACCAATTTGTTGGGGCCAATTCTTGTTGCTTTTGTGTTGTTGTTGTTGTGTCTGTGTTCGTGTGTGTGTGTGTGTGTGTGTGTGTGTGTTTGTTCACATACAGAGTTCCTCCCATGGCTGCTACTGCCTCAGTTTGCCTTTAACTGTTTGGTTTTCAACATGTTTTAATGTAAAACCCACAGCGGGCAAAGAAATCGCACTTGGCCAGGGATGACTGCAGTGCCCATGCAGCAGATAATTCCATCAGGAAACTGTAGCTAAAGGTGTTGTGAGATCTGTCTTCCATCAGAGAATTTATATCTAGCATCCTGACAGCAGCACCAAGTACTAGTTGATATTTCACTCCCATGGTGTCTTTTGTTAACAAGCTGTTTTGTTTTCTAAGTGGTATACTCTAAGGGATGAGAAGTGTATCCACTCAAAGTTTAGAAACAGGGAGAGTTGTTCAGCTTTCAAGACAGGTGTTATCTCCAGGGTGAACACATGTTGCCTTCTAGGGAATTCTCTCTGCCTGCTGTGCACAGTTATCCTTGCCTGTTCTTTTCCCATAGGCAGCATTCTGGTCCCTTACGTTGTTGATGCTGAGCGCCACTGGGAAACACTTAAAATAAACATGCTTCTTTAAATTATTATAAGAGAGTGAATTTCAACAGGAAAGATTTAGTATGTTTCATGCGCAATTGGAAATGGAACCAGCAGCATTAGTACTAGAAGCTATGAAACTAAATTACATTTTAAAGAAAATGCGCATCTTCCAGCTAGGAGCCACCATGCAGAACATTCTAGTTAGCAAAGAATAATGAAGTTTCCTGGGCATGGGGTAACCAAAACGTTTTGTTTTCTATGCGTAAACTCCAGTAGGACTCTCTCACACACACCATAGCTCCAGGATATGTGGATTGCAAAAGAAAGGAAGACTGCCTTCCCTAAACATATTTAATCTGAGATTTAAATGTTTCTGAATTCATTAGTGAACTTCAGTAACATTACAATCTTGCAATGCTTCCCAGGGCTCTTTTGGAATTGCAGGGGGTGTCAATGGCTTGTGCTTTTCATGCATCTACTGTAATGTACAAAGGAGCACATTGCACGTCTCCTCCATGGGACTGGGGAGGGAAGTGTGAACTCCCAGTGTAGAAATAGCTTAAATATATGTGTTTTCCAGTTACACTTTACAATAGAAGTGTTAAGATAAGAAACAAAGGCACTCATGGTTCCTCATTTTCCTGCAGTTGGTGAAAGAGGTCGCAGGAAATTTAGGTGGTGTTAAAATATTATACACATCTGACTTAGGATGGATGTACATGTTGCCTCAAGAAATTCAGGTTGTCAGATCTATGTTTATAGAGGTAATGTGAATGTGGAGTTGAGGAGACATTTGTAAGAATGAATCAAAGGAATCAAAGGAAAGGAAAAGTGCTAGGCACCTGGTATAATAGCAAGCAATTTTATTCTCAAAACATTTTGCAAATAAGTCACAGCAGGTCACAATCGGTTCTACCCACTCCTTCAGGCCAGATGGTAAAGGTATGCCAAATCCATTTAAAACCTTCTATAAATCCTAATACAGTCATACCTTGTGTTGCGTTAGATTCATGTTGCGTCTTTTCAGCTTGTGAATGCAGGAAACCCGGAAGTGTATACTTCCGGGTTTTGCTGCACTTGCGCAGAAATGCCGCTCTAGTTGTGGACTTTTTGGGGTGCGAACGGCACCCCAGAACAGATTGTGTCCCCAACTAGAGGTACCACTGTGTGTTATATCCACATTATAGCCAGCTAACACAATGAGGACAGCCTGCCTCTTAATTTAAATTTTCCTACTAAGCCTATCAGAGATCAATCTCCTCCATTAATCAGAAGAATAAGAAAAAAGATGTCCACATTTAGCTAACTAAAAACCTTTTCAGGAACTAACCAAAGACACTAACCAATAATACAAATCTTAAGATCTAAAACATTGTTTTAATGCAAATCTAAAAATCAAAACATTGGTATTGAAATAATGTCAAAGTCATTGACATTAATGCTGCAGCATTAAAACAGAATCAGCAGGAAGTTCCGGTGCTTCAATCCCAAGGCACGTTCTCCTCTTCCATCACCACCCCACACAGTTGATTCCAAGGAAGTTCACCAACCAATGGCTGGGCAGCCCTTCTCTCACTTGGATCACCTCACCCTACAGGGCTGGCCCACCCAATATAGGCAGGCAATGGGAGGTGACCACCTCAGGCAGCAAGATCTGCAGGGGCAGCAGATCTAGCCTCCACGGAATTATCCTCTGCTGCTGCTGTGGTGGCAGCAACAACAACTGCAGTACACCCCTTGGAGGCCAGATCTGCCTAGTGCCCACCCAATGCCGCTTCTGCAGTGGCCTCTTGGTCAATAGGAGTCACAGCTGGTCTCATAGGTGCTACTACTTGCTGGGAAATCGAAAGTAACTTTTAAGTGTGCCTTTGTAATAAGGCAGCTGCAGCAGTGACGCAGCAAGATTTAAAGCAGCATATGACGCTGAAGGCTAATGCTAGAGTCATGATGGCCCTTCAGGATGCTTGTGGGATTCCTAAGCTCAACAAGAAAAATTACAGCGACTGGGTTCAGTATGCAGAGGCAATTCTGCGGAAAGAGGGTTTGTTTGAGGTGATTACAGGAACCCCCCCAGTTCCAGTTACAGATGCATGGGAAGCTAAGGATTCCAAAGCAAGGGGACTCTTACATTGATAGTATCCCCAGAAGAGCTCTGTCTATTGCGTGATAAGACCTCAGCCAGAGAAATTTGGGACGCTCTGAGAGAGGCTCACTTAAGGACAGAAGCTGGATCCACTATGTTTTACTTTAACAAGCTGCATAATATGGCTCTTGCTGAAGGTGGAGATGTGCGTTTACATCTGATGAAGATTCAAAATCTGAGACATGAGCTGCAACAGAGAGGACTCAACTTTCCAGAGGCTGTGTATTCTTTCATGATACTACAATCTTTGGGTTCAGGTTGGGAGTCTGTTGCAACCCAGATTGCTGTGCAACCAACTGCTCAGCTGACAGTGGACTTTGTTACTGCCGTGATTTTAAATGAAGCAGATCGCCGGGGTGCTAGCTGCATGGGCAAGGGGAGTCTTCACAGACGTCATCCCATAGTGCAGTGGAACCACCAGATGGCGCCAAAGCTTTGAAGGCAGTGAAATGCTACTCGTGTGGACGTCTAGGCCATATGAAGAGGGAATGCAGACATCCCAGGGCCAAGACAGAGCAGCGCAGCGAAAGCTCATCGCGCGGAAAAGGCCGAGGCAAAGGCAAAGGTCCGGTGTCTAGGACAACGCAGCACAAGGCTATGGTTTCACGCTTCACTCCAAAGGTTGCAGAGGTCCAGAAGACGTCTAGATCTTTCTTCGTTGTTGATTCAGCGGCCACCCACCACATGTGCAACGATAAGAAACTGTTTGTGTCTTTTACACCGCAGGAAGGTGCGATTCACCAGGCGGATGACCACACTATTCCCAGTAAAGGCTACGGAACTGTTGTTCTTCACAGTTTGGACTTATCGATACAGAATGTGCTTTACGTGCCAGACGCCAAACATAATCTGCTCAGCGTTGGACAGCTGAATGAGCGGAACATTGACGTTTCCTTCAAGAACAAGAAGTGCATCATCACAAAGAAAAATGATTATGTATTGCATGCAGAATATGTTGATCGTTTGTTTGTTTTGTATTATGATGATGTGGTGCAGGATGACACTTGTTGCATTGCAGGTTCTAACAAAAGTTTGCATGCAGAATGTATTCACGATTTTCATCGAAAATTTGGTCATTTGCATTTTGAGGCAGTATCTAAAATGCCTGCCTTGGTTGAAGGTATGACTATTAAACCCTGCAGGTACCACATGAAGTGCAAAGCATGCGCAGCAAACAAGGTGAAAATGGCTGCGAAAGGTAAGGTGTCTAGTAGGAAAGCTACAGAACCATACCAGGTTGTTCATGCTGATTTGGTTGGACCATTAGCGCCCTCTTTGGGTGGAAATAGATACTTCATGGTTCTCATTGATGCATTTTCTAGATATATTTTTGTGTACAATCTCAAGCAGAAATCGGAGGCTTTTCCTAGGTTCAAGGAATTCTGTGCTTGGTTGGAAAATGTGCATGGTAAGAAGATAAAGACTCTTTTCAGTGATCGCGGGGGGGAATTCACTTCTCAGCAGTTTGAAGCTTTTCTGACTGAGAAAGGAATTCAACACGATTTGTCTAGTCCTCGCTCGCCATGGCAGAATGGACTTGCGGAACGGGCAAATCAAACATTGCTTCAAGGATTAAAGACCTTGCTGCATGATGCCAATCTTCCAGAGAGTTATTGGGCCGAATCTCTCTCGTGTTTTGTTTACAGTTACAATCGCAGGTTATCTTCAGCGATTGGTTGTACCTCTATGAGAAGATGTTTGGCAAGAAGCCATACATCAAACACATGAAGATTTTTGGTTCTGACATGTGGGTTCGCTCACCACAAAACTCCAAGTTAGACAAGCGTGGATTGCATGGTATCTTTCTAGGTTATCAGAAAGGGTCTTACAGAATAATGATGACTGACTCTAAGACAATTAAGCTCACGAGAAGTGTCGAGTACAATGCAAAGTGGGGGAGAATGTGGGAATTTTCCAATGTTATCCTGATGACGGTGATGAGACTGAGGATAGTCAAAGCAACAGCAGCAACCCACACCCACTGATGAAGGTTCTGAGTCTGAATCTGAAACTGAATCGGGTGATTCAGAGGATTTCAAGAGTGCGAAAGCCTCTATGCGACCCTCTGAAAGCTCTGATCAAGAATTGGAGGAACCATTGTTCACAATAGGTCGTTTTTCTCCTAAGAAGGAAGAGGAGAGTGTTGAAGACTTAAGGCTAATTCGTAGGTCACAGAGAGCCACAAAAGGCAAACCTCCAAAGAGATTTGCTGATGAGTTTGCTACGATAGCAGTAACAGCTGTTAAAAGCTCCAAGAAGGTATTTGAACCTTCAAGTTTCCAAGAAATCCAGGGTTTGGATTCAAAGGAAGCTGAGCCATGGTTAAATGCCATGAAGGCTGAGCTTGATTCCTTAGAAAGGAACAAAACATGGGAGCTAGTTCCAGTAGTTCCAGGAATGAAACTGCTTGAAGCAAATGGGTCTTCAAAGCGAAGACAGATCAAAATGGCAAGATAGTCAGACACAAAGCCAGATTGGTAGCCAGAGGTTTTGCACAGGTACCAGGTCAAGACTATCACGAGACCTATTCACCCACAGTGAGATATGAAAGCATTAGGCTTATGCTCAAGCTAGCTGCAGAGGAAAATCTACACATTAGTCACCATGATATTAATACAGCTTTTCTGTACGGATCTCTAGATGAATCACTTTATATGCTTCCACCTGATGGCGTACAGGTAAAACAGGGATTTGTTTGTGCTCTGAAGAAATCCCTTTATGGTCTCAAACAAAGTGCACGGTGTTGGCACACAAAACTCACTGAAGTATTGTTTTCTCTAGGTTTTCAGCAAGGGAAAGCTGATCCATGTGTATTTGTCAAAGAGGAGGGGCAAAAGAAACTGTACTGTTTGTTTTATGTTGATGATTTATTATTCTTATGGAAAGATGTTGCAATGTACAATAGCGCCCTAGCTCAACTGAAAGAGCACTTTGACATGAAAGATCTTGGTGAGGTAAACAACTACCTATCTCTGGAAATAGAGAGAGATCAAGATGGTAACATTCTAGTACACCAGTCACGGAAAATTGCTGATGTGTTAAGCAAACTAAATCTGATGGATGCTAACCCTGTAGACACACCGATGACAACAGGTTATCAGGTAGATGACACTGAAGAAGCATTTTCTGACACTACACTGTACAGGAGTGTGCTAGGCAAGCTAAACTTCATTGCCAGATGTTCAAGACCAGACATTGCTGTTAGCTGTAATTTGCTAAGCAGACAAGTCAACAATCCTAGTGTCAAGGATTGGAAAGCTCTGAAACGCATAGCGCGGTATTTGAAAGGCACTATGCATTACAGACTGAGATTTAACAATCAGAAGTCTGGTGGTCTTGAGATATTTGCAGATGCAAGTTTTGGAAGTGACGCTACAGACAGGAAAAGTACGGCTGGAGTTTGCTACATGTACAATCAGAGTCTGTTTGATTGGTCATGCAAGAAGCAAACAACAGTTAGCTTAAGTACTTGTGAAGCCGAACTGAATGCACTGTCTTATTCACTTAAGGATTGTGAATGGTTAGTACAATTGTGCAAAGATATGAAAATTCCTGTCAAATGTCCAATCCAGGTTTACCAGGACAACAAAGCATGTTTGGCTTTGCTGAAGTCTGAAGGTTGTAAGCAAAGCACAAAGCACTTACAATTAAAGTTGCAGCATGCTAGGGAATGTATTCAGAAAGGACTCGTAACAGTGTCCTATATGCCAGGTAATGAAATTCCTGCTGATGTATTGTCCAAGATTGTATCAAGGGATCAACACTGTACCTATGTGCAGAAGTTGGGTTTGTACTGATATTGTGCAAACACGCTGCCCAGTGATGTTCACAGAAAGGGGAGGATGTTGGTTTCTGCTTTCCTTCACTGTGCAGCTCTGCTTGTCACGAGACAGGTGTTTACATTCCACAGTCTGTACTGTTGGAGTTTCTCACGGGAAAGGGAGACTGGATGTGACGTACACTGGTTTTCCTGTTTTTCACTGTGTGATTCTCTCCGAGCTGTCGAGGAGAGAGGATGCATTTTTCTGCTCCTGCAGAGGCAAGATGTCTTTCTGTAATATACCAGCTTTGAACTGTAAATAAAGCTATATAGAGTATGTATCACGTACTCCTCATCCTTCCGCTGGGCACCAGTCTCTGCTTTAAATCAACAACTACTACTCCTTTATTTCCCCCTTTGTTCCTGGTATAGATCTTCGCTCATCACTTTCTTTTGAACTAACTCATGGGCTGCAGGCTTATAATTTATGTTATCACAGGAGTAAGTATTTCTATCCATATATTTGGAGATTGGCTGCTCTGAATCCAATGTCTTGAGTTTGGGAGGGAGTGGGGAAGAACACAGGGAATATTCAGTCAGGCGCTGGTCCTATGTTACCAGTGTTTGTACAGCCCTGTGCAAGTCCTACTGAAGTGAATGGAGATCGTGTTGCATTTAGCATGGTGCTTGCCTTATTTGAACTGCCTGGGGAAGTAGACACAGTATTAATAAAAGAGCCAAAAACACACCCCTTACTACAGTCATATGCTTCCCAAAGATGGTGGGGGTGGGGGGAAATGGGTTACTGGAAATCATAGATTATGAGAATGCTGGGTTAAGAAGTCCCTTGCCTTCTGTCTTTCTGAAGCCATGCTAAATCACTTGAAAGAAAGATTGGTAAAAAGGAACTATAAAAACCGCTGCATTTTCCCAAGGTCAATTGGCTTTGTAGCCAAAGATTGAAAATGCTGAACAGCGGCTCCTCCTGCTGGTTGAAAAGCTGCTTGTGCCTTGTCAACAGAATCCGTGGTAGTGAGGAATGATCAAAGTGCTTGTAATGAATCTAGTTATTTCCCGCTTTTGAACTGGGCATTAGGCAGGCACAACTTTTTTTCTGGCTACATCTGTGCTAAATGCATGTGTAATTCCGCTGACTTCTGTTAAACTAGCTCCGATTAGCATAAGCTGTGTGGATTCTATAATGCAGCACATCATTTGTTGACCAAGTCTATCCTTTCCGCAGCCTATCGAATCGACAGGTTATGCATACAGACAGGAGCTGAAAGACAGTAGAGTTTATTGTTCCTTAGCTTTTACGATGTGTTTTTCTCACTGTGGATTGTTTTTAAAGCCCCTTCTTTTAACCCAAGTATACCTACTGTGTAAAAAAAACCACAGAAATCAGAGAAACCAAATAGATGGGTATTTTTAACCGTTTATTCAAGATTTTAACATTTCAACATCCAACAGTTTCCCTTAGTTTTCCCTCCTCACCTTCCACTGTCTATCTCCCCCAACCAAAGATGGTCTCCTCTTAAATAGTTTAACCAACTCTACTAAGATTTTTAAAAAATGCAAAATAAAATAATCTATACAACATAAAAAGTATATAAATAGATTAAATTATAGTCTGTTCAGGGTGATATGTTTCCCATTCCATTGGGCTCCAGGTATTATTCTGCAAACAACTCTAAGGGAGAAATCCTATAGCAAGTTCCGCTGGGATGAGCGAGTTAGGCTCTAATGAATCTCTCAATCTGAAGGGTACACCAGTTTATCTCCCTCATTCTTGATTTATTTGGAAAAACAGCAGTTGCCTTCTTTTGGAAGAAGCTGTAATAATAATAATAATATATTGCTCTTCCATTCAGTATTGAGTTTTGCTTCCTAAAGGAAATTGACCCCAACTGAGTTTTAGCTGATTAATTTAAAAGTTACCATCATACTGTTTTTTAATGCATTTTACTAGACCTGTGTGACGTGGGACGGAGATAAACTTCTTTGTGTACAGAAAGGAGAAAAAGAAGGCCGTGGCTGGACCCAGTGGATTGAAGGGGACGAAATGCACTTGGTAAGGACATGCAATGTTTCAAATATATTTCCCTCACCTCTCTCCACTCCCCAAAGTCTTTATTTGTTCATATGGCTAAATGCAATAATCCGCAATTTGCTTGTGCATTATGCTGGCTAGCTCTGGAGTAATTAAGCATTGCATTGTGTTTGATTTACTTCTAAGGCAATAATCTCTTTCCTGTCCCTGTCATAAATAGCAGCATTCTGAATTCAGCAAATCTTTATATTAACCGTCAAATTGCTTTGATCCGTTTACACAAGAGAAAGCATGTAACAGAAGTGCCCTTGACTCGCTCTGTGATACAAACTGTGTGTGGCTGGGGAAGATTTTTGCATCCCAAACCACAGGTCATAAGTGGAAGGAGGGAGCTATTTTCTTTTCTTTTTAAGGCTAGAATTTTTTTGTAGCTTAGGAAATGAAAGAGAGCAATTCCCTTTTGAAAGTATTATTTTCTTTCTAACCATTATTTCTGACTTTCTGAGATAGCAGGACCTAATAAAGTTTACTGCTGCTGCTTTTTCAAGTATGTTGTTTATAGCCCTCTTGAAAGTCCTCTTCCCAGAGGGAGCTACAAACCCATCCCTGAGAAATTACTGCCTACTAAATGCACTTCACCATTTGTTTAGGATGCTAACTTGGTAAACATCCAGGTGAGCCACTGAGATTGTAGATGGATGGAGCTTTCAAGTTTGAATTTCCATTAAAGCCAACAGAACGAGCTATAGTAAATGAGAGAGAGAACAGTTGGGTTGGAACTTGGAGACATGCTTCTGAATCTCACCGCAGTCTTTATTGCATAACTCTCAATTTCTTCTCCATCTGTAAAATGAGACAACAGTTTCAACGCCAGCACTCTAATCCTAGGAATATTTAATTGGAAGCCGGTCCTATTGATTCTAATGGCATGTGCTTCCAAGAGAGGCTCTGTGCAGGCATTGCAATTAGGGAGGGCAGCTGGAGAAGCAGGCTATCTCTGCTCCCTCTGCTGCTTTTTCAGTCACCTGGGAAAGTAGCAGGGAGCCTTTGATATCACACATTTGCGGGTTATAAAGTGTGCAGGGTCCACGCACACTTCAGACAGTTGCAACAGAGGTCACAGAGCTAGTGCACTTATTCCTGCTGTCCCCATATATTTACATTTTCCTAATTATATGGGACTTAAGTGAAATTAGGATCTCATCCTTAGGGGCAAACTAGGTATTGATAATAATGTATTGTAATGGTCAGGCCAATGGCAGCTTTCTACTCAGGATCAGTAACAGCTGGCAGTGACCATTTTTACCAGGAGCACAGTGAAGAGTTGACCTTTCCTGTGGTGCTAATCTTGACTGAGCCCTCATGAAGCTGTTGTTTTAAAAGTAAAAGATAAGACACTTTAAAATGTCAGTGCACACTCACATTTAACAGGAAGTTTAGTTCAGCCATTACTGTATAGTATTATAAAAAATTATGGTGATAATAACGCCGCACATTTCTCCTTCTGCTAATTTTCTGTAGAATTCATACCTGAAAGAATCTGCATGATAATCCTGAAGCAAATATGTAGCTTGTTTTGATTAAAGCATTGCCAGGACTGCAGCCATTATCAGTACGGGGGGGGGGGGAGTAACTGGTGTGTCTGTTGCAGAGGGGGTTCCTAAATAAAGAATAGGGAAATGGTTTCCGTGTCTCCATTTGTATGTAATATGGTGCTGCACTCACTTAGGGAGCCTCACTTTATCTTGCCTACTGTAGGCTTCACTCCATAAACTTCCCCCATAAGCACGGGACACCTTTGCCTGGCGGTGCTGTGACCCATAGATTGCAGCAAAATACGGGGCAAGGTTTTGCCCAGTATCTTGTTTGTGTGGTGGGCTCATGGGAAAAAGCTGTCCCATGAGCCTTGCAAAGGAGAGGGGAATGCCTTAATAAGGCTGCTTCCCCTGGAACTCAGGGCCATTTTGCCTTGAGAGCTCCCTGGCTGCCCACCCTCGGGTTAGAGCCTTCACTGAGCAATTGTGGGTCCCTGGTTGACAGGGCTGGAAAGGGATATTTCTCTCAACTTGATTGGTACATGGTTGAGGGATTTCCCCCCACCTTTCCCTCAATGAAATTACAGCCTTCCTTTGTTAGGCAAAGAACATTGTTTGTGTGAGGGCGGAAATGGCATTGAGCAGGATCAGCATTGTACAGGGGGTCCCCATAAGTAGCCTGAGGACATAATTCATCAAGGCACTCCCAAGCTCGGGTTGGGGTTTGTGCCTGGTAGAAATCTGCACCTTGGTTGCCCTGTGAGACTTTGCTTGCTGGGCTTGTACCATGGCAAGGTTCAACACTGGCTGACTCGCACAGAACAGGTTTGGGGAGGTCCAATCCCGGCAGATCCATTCCATCAACATGGGGCTTAACCCTTGCCCTGTCTGCTGCAGTCAATAAAGATTTGGCCTGATTTTATCCCATCACTGTTCCACATTCTTGTTATTTTGCTGCTCTCATGGGTCACATAATGTGTCTACTTGGCAAATAATTTCCCACCACTAGGGCTGTAACTTCTTCATGAGACCATAAGTTAAGGAGCAGTAACTAGAAAGAGTGGTGTGTTGGGAGTGGAGTCTCTGGTAACGTGATTTACCGGCAAGCCACTTAGATCCTTGGGTTTCCAAGCCTTACTCTACTCTCCAAGTGTACCTCTAAGAGAACTATGTTACAGTCCTATCTGTGTGTCAGAAATGAATCCCTTTGAGTTAAGGGAGTTTACTCAAACATAAGTGGACTACAGCATTAGGTGCTGACCAAATTCACATCTACTTTCAACTAGTTATGCACATCAGGGGTTTGAGTGGGGGATAGATAGATAGATAGGTGATAGATATTTCTAAACTGCCATATCCTAATCCACCATTGTTTGTATTTTATTTATGCTTTTTGACAGCTTAAATTATCACTTCTCTTACCTGCTTCTGAAAGCATCATTCATCTTTCCTCCCCTCCTCAATTTTTTTTTTAATACTTCTGCTGTGTTATTAATGTATTTGGATATCTCATCTTCACATGCTTGTATCTTTGAGAGTTTCTGAATATGTAGGGCATTCAGGCACCATAAAAATTATTCTATGATGCTTCAGTAATAATTTTATGGTCCTATTGAACTTCAGACAATATTCCAAATGTTAATTAATTAATCCTTTTATAACGTCTATTAAGTGATCTGCCATAAGCTTTCGGCATTTATTCACCATTCTTTCCAGGCAGATTATTTTCCAAGTCAGCATTTTTTAGTTAATTAAAACATACACATCTTATGTTAACTCCCATTCCACTTTAGGCTTTATTTCTCTGCCGCTGTCAAGTCGTTCCTGAGTTTTTTCTGTATTGTGATATCCCTTTCTCTTCAATAGATAGCCCATTGTTGTGAGATCACACATCCTGGCTGCATTTACTCCTTTATCAAATCCATTGACACAAAAAATGAACAGAATGTGTGCCAGTATTTTTTCATTTGTTGAATCATTTCCATTCAGTCTGTCCCACTTTCTGGTACTTTTTGAAATCTAAAGTGCACTTTCTTCCCTCTTCCAGTTCCATTCAGAGCACTCACCTGCTTTAGGTCACTCACCCCAGGAATGGATTTTCCTCAACTAGATTAATATTTTCTGTGAAGTGATATCAAAAGTTCTTCTTTAGACTGAGAAAATTATGCCCATAGCATCCAGGTCATTTTTTTTTTAAGTGTTATCTTATAAAATAACGTTAACTTTGTCCAAAAGTATCTCCTTTAAAAATACAAGTTTGATCTTTTCTAATAAATCAAAGGCATCTCAATTCCTTTCCCAAACCTCTCCTTTTAGGTGCAAATATCCTATTCTCTATGGGGACTACTCAGGTTGAAGGTTAAGAGATTCTTGAAACACCTCCAGAATGCTTCCTTTAGTCTAAAGGGCTTTGGAGTGTATACGTTGGAAACTTCAACTGGTGCACAAAATGGCTGTTGGATTGTTAACAGCCGTTTGATCAGAGGCAGACCTTGGGGTCTCAAATTTCAATGGCACCCTGTGTGGCACCAAAATTCAGCGCCCCCCAACCTTTCACCTTCCATTCTACAACATAATTCTGGTGCCCAGTGCAGGCGAAAGTGTGGCACTCCCCTAAATCCACTTCTGGTTTGATCATACTGTGCTTCTCTTTGCCTGCCTGCACTGGGTTCTGATTTTGTTTCCAGGACCGAGGTGCTGATTTTAAGTTTAAAAACCAGCTTGGAACCCCTGATGAAAAGCCTCTCCCTTATGTTCCTACCCAGCTTGGAACCCCTGATGAAAAGCCTCTCCCTTATGTTCCTACCCAGCCCACATTGCCATCTCCAAAGGCCCTTCTCAGCCCACTGAGGTGCAATGAGAGAAAGGAGGGAGGATGTGCCACATAGATATAAAAGAGTAGAATGAAGTGTCTTGTTATCTGGATAGCTAATATCTTCATTCATACTGAGAAAATATTTTAAAATGTCCCCAGATAAGCGTTTATGTTTGTGAAAGGGGCACACGCTCCCAATGTAATCATTCAGCTATTTCTGTTTGACTATGAATACTATTCGATTCTAAGGAAGACATCAGTGTTTATCTACGAAGAACACAGTGTTTGAAGAAGTAGCATTTAAGTATTGACTTTTCTTTTTCAGGAAATAAGAGCTTGTGGCGTCAAATGTAAGCAAGTATTTAAGAAGGTACAGTGATGAGCCTGAAGCCAGAGGCCAAGAGGGTCGAATAAAATGGATGGACCAGCTGCCAAACTTACAACCCTGTTAGTGCACAAAAACCTTATCCCTTAACACCTAGAAAGGAGCCCATGGCCAACATCTAGCCATGTCTAATTGGAGCTCTGTAGTGGGTTTTGTTGCATACCGTATATGATATTTTAAAAAGCAATAGTTGAGTCTGAATGAGCATCATCATCATCATCATGTAGAAGTTCAGATTAAAGCTAATGAAACCTGGATTATGTGTGATTTCATTTTTATATAAATATGCAGATTTTTTTGTTTTTTAAAAAAGGGTTGTCTGTGAAGTTTGATATTCACTTTGACTGCTAAGCATATTGTACCAGAACTGTACATAAAATACAATGCTGAGTCCAGACTTGCTTAGCTTAAATGGCAGAACTACATAAAGAATGATCAAGCTTTTTCTCTGGAACTGTTAGATTTGAGGAGCTGGTTTAGGTGGACCCCAGCCTATGGTGACGAGGGCAATTGCTGCTGTTGGCAGAGTTTCTCCTAATGGGGTTTTGCTTATGCATTCATTGCAATGGACTGCTATTTTCCTGCATATGCATTGGGGATAAAATCAATGCACTTATTTATTCTTTAGCTATTGAAACCTGTTTCACCCATCTCTTCAGATAGGACTCCAAGAACAACTTACAGATCAATAATAAAACCAAGAAGGGGCAAGATTTCCTAAGATGGTTTATTGATTTATTATATATTTTTTGTATCCCACTTTCCAGTCAGTAATTGTCTCCCAAATGGCTCACATCAATTAAAAGAGAGAGAGAGAGACTCTCTGCCACACAAGGAGAATGGATGGAAAATGCAGAGGAAGGGGATTATTTATCCAGGGACAGAATGGAATGAGGAGGTATTCATATCCAGTTTGAGCCAGGCTGATCTTCCCTGTGGATACCTGTGGATCAAGGATAATGTTGCACATACATGGATTCAGAATACAGGGGTGGGAGTCCACTGGGGCCAGAGTGAACAGTAATGGGTACACAGCCTGGGACCCTATCTTCTGAGAGCACCCACCGGCATGTGACACCAGTTAAAAAAATCTCAAGTGGCAAAGCTGGACATTATATTTGCTTGAGACTTAATATTTTCTTCATCCTTCCTCCATCCATTTCCCCACTTCCTGAAGCTGTAATTAGGGAAACAGACAAGGGTGGGTGTTGCACATCTCCTGATCTAAGTTCCACTTCTCTGATCAATTTTTAAAACTGTGCAGCAGTTTTAAAGGAACAATAAAAACAACAGGAGATTCAATCACAGATCAGCCACATAAAATGTAGTTTGATCCCGAATCTAAATAAGGAGGAAGCCTAACAGACTTCCTTGGGGAAAGTATTTTATGATACTTATCCAAAAGGTCCTACTCCAAACATGACAGTACTTTACTTCCCATATAGAAAGAACTCAGAGCAAAGATACGTTTGCAGATCTGAAAGCAAAACATATTCATTGTAAATAAAAGTTCCCCCCAGATATATTGGCATGAACATCCAGTTCATTTGATCTGGAACATAAATAAGCTGTGCAATGGTGGATAATTTCCTTTTCATTCCAAGCGTGGGTGGGAATGCATGACTTTTCAGACTCTGTTGGACCATGTGGTAAGAACTTTGGAGGATAGATTGAAGAAAAACACCTCGCTATGTGCTATTTAAGGTGTGTGCCTTCATTTCTACTACCGAGACATACTGAAAATGTTTTTGTTCTAAACAAAGTGAGAGTCCCAAGAGTGTGGGTAGCACAATAGATAATGATATCCATTAAAAAAATTAAACATTTGTAATCCCTATGCTAATTCATTGCCACTGTGTTAATGTACTGAACCCAATTAGTAATTTGTATGCCAGTGCTAAAGCACTACAGGTGCTCAACAGAAATTTCATCAAGGGAAGAGAGAGCTGAGACCCTGAAGGTCCAAGTTGATAGGCAGACATTTGCTTTACAGTAATTCCAAAGAGACTATTCTAGCGAAAAAGATGAAGCCACTAGAAGCATTATCACTGACCCCAGCAGGCCCAGAACTTCAGCTATAGATTATGAGTGATACTGACATACTACTCACGCACCCCCCCCCACTTGAGGTGAATGGGAATCTAACAACTGGAGGTGGTCACTAAATTGCCACTTTAAGGATTCCTTATACAATAAATGCCTCTTCTAAAAACTGTTTTCAGACACCCAAGAGAGGTCTCAGGCAGCCTGGAATGTGTGTATTATTAGTGCTGAGATTTTATCCATTTATTCTTTAAATCTTTCTTTAAATGCTGTTTGTTTTTCTTTTCTGAAGCTGGCATTTGAGCCTATGAAAGGAAGCATATAGAACTGCTTGGCAATATTTTTTGTTTTCATTTAACAATGTGCGCTCAATTCTGGTGTTTGAATTGTTGTCACACAGGGATGGCCATATAATTAGCCAGAGGGAGTTGGCCACCTCAGGCAGGGCTTATAGCGGTGGGGGGTGGGGATGGGGAGGCAGGAACATGACATCCCTGACCCTCACTGCTACAATTAGCTGTGTAATCAGAGAGCAACTTGCACTTAGTAGCTGAGATATTAAATCACTCAATACCAGTTGTGACACACCCCATCATTCTGAGTGAATGACTCTTAAGTCACTATTGCTTGGCTTAGCCTGCCTCACACTAAGCTCCTCTTAGGTCAAGTGGAAGAAACATGCAACTTTATTAATTAATTTATTTCATTTAAATTCCCATTTTTTTCTCCAAAGAGCTCAAGGTGGCATACATGTTCTCTCCTGGCCCAAGGTCACCCAGTGGGCTTAATGGCCAAGTGGGGATTTGAACCCTGGCCTCCAAGGCCCTAGTCCCATACTCTAACCACTATACCACACACCATTGGATTCTTTATCTGGCTCGATGTATATATGACTAGTCAATTAGCACTATCAATTCACAAAGCCCTGGACAACTTAGGCCCAACCTCTTACAGTCCAGCTGAATTACTGAGGTCCTCTGTAGAAGTGTTCTTGGTTGTCCCCCGAGTTGGCCAGGCTCATCTGACATCAACCCAAAATACAGCCTTTAGCATCATTGGGCCAATGCTGTGGAATGCTCTGCCTTCTTGTTTCAACTCTTGAATGCAACCTAAAAACCCTTCCTATTCCACCAGGCTGATTAAGAAAAAGTATTTCAATAATTGTTAGTTGGATGGTTTTTTATTGTAAATCTATGTTATATAGACATATCATTGCAAACTGTGTGTGTGTGTGTGTGTGTGTGTGTGTGCGTACACACACACAGAGAGAGAGAGTGGTACCTTGGGTTAAGAACTTAATTCGTTCTGGAGGTCTGGTACCACTTTAGCTAATGGGGCCTCCTGCTGCTGAGGTACCACTTTAGCTAATGGGGCCTCCTGCTGCTGCTGCGCTGCCACTGCACGATTTCTGTTCTCATCCTGAAGCAAAGTTCTTAACCTGAGGTAATATTTCTGGGTTAGCGGAGTCTGTAACCTGAAGCATATGTAACCCGAGGTACCACTGCGTGTGTGTGTGTGTGTGTGTGTGTGTGTGTGTGTGTGTGTGTGTGTGTGTGTGTGTGTGTGTGTGTGTGTGTGTGTGTGTGTGTGTGTCTCTCTCTCTCTCTCTCTCTCTCTCACACACACACACACACACACAAAAGCAAACAAATATGGGATTGATTTTCCATATTCAGCAGTACTAAGCTACCCAGGTGATTCATTAAAAAAAAACCCACAGATTGTTATTTGGATTTGTTCAATACCTACAACCCTGCTGGCCTGTCAGTTAATGTTAGCTGCTTTGCTTTGGATGACTAATTGCAATGAAGTTAGGGTTCATGTACGCTTAATAGGTTTGTGGATAAGGGAATTTTGGCTCTTCTTAATCCTGCATGACAAAGAAGGTTGGTGGTTCAAGCCCACCCAGGGATAGCTGTGGGCAGGATTCCTGCATTGCAGGGGTCCCTTCCAACTCTAGAATTCTATGATTCTGTGAAAGTGCACCCACCAAAATTCTCTCCTCTACAGCAGCCATGCCCTTTTTTGCATCTAGCCTTCTGCAGCTTCTTGCTGGAGTTGAGATACTTTAAAAATTGCTTAGTGCATCCTGTGAGAGCTACCGAAAAGCAGAGCCGAACACTTAACTAATGGCCTTCTGTGGAGTTGGGATTTTGGGGCAGAAGAATTGCTTCCAATTTTCTCCAATCCCATTCGCAAACTCTATGGTGGAAAGGTATAAGCAGTTCAATTAGCAGCTAGCCAAGTAAATCCAATTGTTGAAGCTTCTTATTACTGTAATCAGACACACAAATTCTCCCCTTGGGGACATTTGACACAGGGGCAAGATTAGCATTGTAGTTAATAATGCTAAATGGCTTATCTAAAACATAAGTACTGATTCAACGGTGAAGAAAATGGAATTTTGAAAAAGGTTTTTGCTAATGGTTTATATTCAGATTTTTAGGGTATTATCTAAGCTGCTTTGTCCCTTGTTTCATATTTTTCTGCAAACCCCTATTGAAAATAGACTTTTTATAAGACTTTTCAAAACCCACAGAAATAGAAATACAGCTAAAAGCAACCAATAGGTTACCTGCCTAGATATCCAGCAATGATTATTATGTAGGCTGAAAAGGCAATGGAAAGACAATGATGACCAAGTATGACTGACTGTTGGGTCCCAGTCTTTCCCAGTCACTGCTTCTACACCTTGCAGGTTGCATTGAAAAACCTGTGGCCTTCTAGATATTGCTGGACTACAACTTCCATCATCTCTGACAGCTAGCCATATTGTTTGAGGCTGGTGGGGTTTGAGGCTTTAGGTTGCTCATCCCTGCTGCAGGATGCTGTGCCAAAATGGTATTTTGTATTTGAAATGTGCCTCTGCACACAAAAATCAGATTTTCTTTTATGATAACCTCAGGCAAGTTCACTAAATTGAGAAATACCGCATGGCTCACAGCAAATTATGAAGCAATTATGTTTTCTCAGAAATACATCGTTTTCTGTTCCTTTAAACTCTGTGGACAATGGGTTTAGGACCTCAGAAACACACACTAATAATAATAATAATGAAATGAGAGCTGAGCCGAAAATTCTCAGAAGACATTTTTCTGAGAAAATTTCTGAGCTTTTTCTTACTACACCGCTCTTCCCTGACCTCCCCACCACAAGAAAAAAGACAATTTTGCAGAACTTGCTCCAAATCTTTTTTTATTGTTATTGATTGATTGATTGATTGATTGAGGCCACCATTTTGTCTCCCCCATCCCAGGCCCAATAACATTCGCCAGAACAATATTAGGCATTGGACCTTGTGGTGTATACAAAATGGTGGCCAGACTAACAATTCAGTTGATAGCTAGCTGGAGGGGGGGGCAATAGTTTCTACTGAACTTCATCCCCTAGAAACTGTTGAATAATTTATCCTTTTCCTGGAGAAATTCTGTGGAATTCTCTCCTCAGTTTCTCTGCCTGCAAACAAAGTGAAGAATTTTAAGAGGCCATTTGTGCACTGATCTTGCTTAACCTAGTAAAATGATAAGGAAGGAAAAATATCTCTTTTTAATTTACCTCGGCACAGCTTTCAAAAGGAAAAAGAATGTGACACAGGGTTGAATCCATGGAATAATGATGATAGAGCAAAAGCCATTGTGCAAGACCAATTAAGGATTTCTTTTCACTTTATCAGATCCAACTGAATGCTAATTGGGCACAATAAACTTTAACATTTGCTAAGTGAATAGTCCCCTTTTTATAATCAGGGATTGAATTGGCTAATTCATACCTTTTCAACAATTTATGGCCGAAGATTTCTATAGCATAAAACATAAAAATGTAAGAAGTAATAAATATTGTCAAGTCTTGTCTCACTGCCTGTGCAGATCAACTATGTCTCCCCTCCTCCTCCCCTAATATACACAGCGTACAATATCTCATTCTCTACCAAGATCCTTACAGACTGGAAATAAATGTAGTGTGTGAGTCAACAGAAAGTGAGCTGGTACTGAATCTAGAGAAGAGGACCGATAACAACTTTCCCACTATAGATGGTAAATTTGATCAAATGGGAGCCAGGTTACACACCAACGCACATCCCTTTTTGGAAGACGCTTCAATTTAAGCTCACTCTGTAGAGCACATAAGAGATCCTGACCAAGAGGGAAACCATATGAATGTTCAGAGCAAGGCGACATTTTTCAGTTGTAAGAGAGCTCTTTAAAAGGGAAATTGCAGGAGCATAGGAGCCAATTCCTAGGAGCTGAGGTCCCTTCACCTCCCCCCCAATAAAATATTTGACAGGTCCAGGACCACTCACAGTTGATGGACATTGCCATTCATATGGTATGCATGTGCCCTGCCATGTGTTTGATTATACAGGGTGGACCTTAGCTGCCCCTAACCCCCGATACTTTATGCAAGTTGGCACCCCTGAGCAAGAAGAAGGCCATACAAATGATACAAATCCAGGGGAAAGGTTCAGTAAGAAGTGAGACCTTACACGACAGCAGAGATTGCTAACATGATGCTGCTCAGATGTCTTGGACTATAACACTCACCAGCCCTGATTATTGGCTATGCTGACTGGGGCTGATGGGGGTTGTAGTCCGAAACACCCTGGAGGCCAGTCTCTGCATAAGAGAATCCACACTGGATAGAGGCTATTTAAATGCACGGTGTCAGAAAAGCTACATCAGAAGAGAAACCTTAAGGCACATGAGAGAATCCACACCGGAGACCAACACTATAAGGGAGTATCACCACCTCCTTTCTTTGTTAAAGAAATAGCGATGTATAAGAAGGTGTTTGGCTATTGCTCTGAAAGAGAACAAGTAAATATCTATAATGAGGCCTACCACAAGCTCTTGGTCCTTCTATACTTCTTGATGTCTGAAAGCATAACAGGAAACAAAACAATAGCAAAGTATTATGTACTATGTTATGCTAATGAAACTGCACTCCCTAATTCTATGCCTTGGGACAGCTTTTTTTTGCTCTGATATGTAACCTAGCGGAATTTCAAATAAAATAAATAATACTAAACACAGAAAAAAGTAACTATTCCAAAATGAAATCTTAAAATGTCATAAAAATGATGGACCACTCTTTGCTATATTGGTCTAACTGTAACTGAGCAGGTGATGGAAGTACCACAAAGCAGGACACAGAGTTTAAACTTTCAGCTGCTCAGTGCAAAGGGTTCTTACTATGCTCTTGGAAGATTTATAAAATCAATGGGCACCTACAGAGTAATTGCCCATCAAATGGCCCCCTTAATCTTCCCGGACTTTTCTAAGGCAATTCCCTGGGATTTGGTCAATTTTAACTGCTGAATTTCAAGCAGAAAATGTTTTAATTACTGTACAGTTATTCCATACAGGGATAAAAAAAAAAACACGCTCTTAATAAGCAGAACTCCTTTGCTCGACACATTTACTTATTTTTAGAAGCAAGACAGAGCAAAAGACAACAGGTAATTCAGGGATGTTGCCTCTTTTTGATGGATGGATCGATTTACTTATCATGTTTACATATATTTTTCCCATATAATTTATTATTTTTACAAACTGTGTCTGGCAGACTTTCTTCATATTTCTTTAAGATACTGCTTGAAAATTATATTCCTGGATTTGTTATTTTCCTTTAAAAAAAGAACCTTTTTCCCCCTCAGAAGCACTGGTTTGGTGTAGAATAAACATAAACAGAATTTATTCAGAGGTAAATCCCACGGAATTAAAAGGAGTGAAAATTGTGATTAAGGAAAAATGGGAAAACTCCTTCCCTATTCTTGGCTTGCCAAAGTCAGGAAATAACACATATGGTAAACTTCACAAGGCAGACTATGATATAATAATTTTATAGAAAAATTGGACCAGCATAGTACAAGATCTAGTAAACCCTTAATTACTGTATTTTGTTAGGGATGTATAGGGTATGGTGCCGCACTATGCACTTTTTCTGAATTGCTGTTGAAGAACGGTATAGTTTTACACAGTGCTATTTTTCTAGAAAAAGAGGTGCTGGAACTTATTATGAACGCCTGCCTCATTCTCTTGGAATGGCAATAGCGCCCACCTGAGAGGTGCCAGAACTGAGTTCCAGCAAGTTCCAGCCAAAAAAGCCCTGATTTTACTTATGTACTCCTATGGATTGAATTATATAAAAATAAAGCTGAAAAAGCTATCTGATTATGAGTGAACTGAGGCTGCCATAATTCAGTTTGCTTGTCAAATCATAAATCAGATGTTCTCTATTATTATGAGATTTTGAATTATCGTCTAATTTTTGCACATGCACAACATCAAAGTGTATTTTGGGAATGTGGCATGTGTAATAGCACTAAAGCTTCCTTCCTAACGCCACTTATCTGGGAGCAAGTCCTATTGAATTCAACAGGACTTACTTCTGAGCAGACGTAGTTAGGATTGCAGTTTAATATTTCCTTTCTGAGCAAAGTGCTTAAGAGGATGCTAGGAGTTCAACTTCAGGAAAACTTGAGTAAATGAGTTATCTAGATCCATCTCCATCTCCATCTGGCTTCAGCACCAGGTCCACTGCCTTGGACACCTTGCTTCTTTTATGGCCTTTAAGAGAAGAGAGACAGTGGAAATGTGATCCTTTTAATTCTTCTTGACCTTTCAGCAGCTTTGGATGCAATCAACCATAGTATC